AAATTAAAAGGTTTTGTTTTCTCACTGGATTCTTAATGTAATGAGTTGAATTCTTCAGGAAATTCAATTCTGGCCTCTATGCACCTCCTGTAAACTTTTGAGCAATTTTTGTTGAGTTGTATTTTTGGGTCAAAAACTGACTTTTTCGATGATGCCGGCTATGGAAAACGTTGAAGTTTTGGGGGCATTTGGTAAAAAGCCAAAAAGTTTTGTTTTCTCACTGGATACTGAATGTAATGAGTTGAACTCTTCAGGAAATTCAATTCTGGCCTCTAGGCACCTCCTGTAAACTTTTGAGCAATTTTTGCCAAGTTTGATTTTTGGGTCAAAAACTGACTTTTTTGATGATGCCGGCTATGGAAAACGTTGAAGTTTTGGGGGCATTTGGTAAAAAATTAAAAGGTTTTGTTTTCTCACTGGATTCTTAATGTAATGAGTTGAACTCTTCAGGGAATTGAATTCTGGCCTCTGGGCACCTCATGTAAACTTTTGAGCAATTTTTGTCAAGTTGGATTTTTGGGTCAAAAACTGACTTTTTTGATGATGCCGGCTATGGAAAACGTTGAAGTTTTGGGGGCATTTTGTAAAAAGCCAAAAAGTTTGGTTTACTCACTGGATACTGAATGTTATGAGTTGAACTCTTCAGGGAATTCAATTCTGGCCTCTAGGCACCTCGTGTAAACTGTTGAGCAATTTTTGTCGAGTTGGATTTTTGGGTCAAAAACTGACTTTTTCGATGATGCCGGCTATGGAAAACGTTGAAGTTATGGGGGCATTTTGTAAAAAGCCAAAAAGTTTTGTTTTCTCACTTGATACTGAATGTAATGAGTTGAACTCTTCAGGGAATTCTGGCCTCTAGGAACCTCGTGTAAACGTTTGAGCAATTTTTGTCGAGTTGGATTTTTGGGTCAAAAACTGACTTTTTCGATGATGCCGGCTATGGAAAACGTTGAAGTTTTGGGGGCATTCGGTAAAAAATTAAAAAGTTTTGTTTTCTCACTGGATACTGAATGTAATGAGTTGAACTCTTCAGGGAACTTAATTCTGGCCTCTAGGCACCTCGTGTAAACTTTTGAGCAATTTTTGTCATGTTGGATTTTTGGGTCAAAAACTGACTTTTTCGATGATGCCGGCTATGGAAAACGTTGAAGTTTTGGGGGCATTTGGTAAAAATTTAAAAAGTTTTGTTTTCTCACTGGATTCTGAAGAGTAGAACTCTTCAGGGAATTGAATTCTGGCCTCTAGGCACCTCCTGTAAACTTTTGAACAATTTTTGCCAAATTGGATGTTTGGGTCAAAAACTGACTTTTTCGATGATGCCGGCTATGGAAAACATTGAAGTTTTGGGGGATTAGGTAAAAATTAAAAAGTTTTCTTTTCTCACTGGATTCTGAATGTAAAGAGTTGAACTCTTCAAGGAATTGAATTCTGGCCTCTAGGCACCTCCTGTAAACTATTGAGCAATTTTTGCCAAGTTGGATTTTTGGGTCAAAAACTGACTTTTTCGATAATGCCGGCTATGGAAAACGTTGAAGTTTTGGGGGCATTTTGTGAAAAATTAAAAAGTTTTGTTTTCTCACTGGATACTGAATGTAATGAGTTGAACTCTTCAGGAAATTCAATTCTGGCCTCTAGGCACCTCCTGGAAACTTTTGAGCAATTTTTGCCAAGTTGGATTTTTGGGTCAAAAACTGACTTTTTCGATGATGCCGGCCATGGAAAACGTTGAAGTTTTGGGGGCATTTGGTAAAAAATTAAAAAAATTTCTTTTCTCACTGGATTCTGAATGTAAAGAGTTAAACTCTTCAGGGATTGAATTCTGGCCTCTAGGCACCTCCTGTAAACTTTTGAGCAATTTTTGCCAAGTTGGATTTTTGGGTCAAAAACTGACTTTTTCGATAATGCCGGCTATGGAAAACGTTGAAGTTTTGGGGGCATTTGGTAAAAAATTAAAAAGGTTTGTTTTCTCACTGGATACTGAATGTAATGAGTTGAACTCTTCAGGAAATTCAATTCTGGCCTCTATGCACCTCCTGTAAACTTTTGAGCAAGTTTTGGCGAGTTTGATTTTTGGGTCAAAAACTGACTTTTCGATGATGCCGGCTATGGAAAACGTTGAAGTTTTGGGGACATTTTGTAAAAAGCCAAAAAGTTTTGTTTTCTCACTGGATACTGAATGTAATGAGTTGAACTTTTCAGGGAACTCAATTCTGGCCTCTAGGCACCTGCTGTAAACTTTTGAGCAATTTTTGTCGAGTTGGATTTTTGGGTGAAAAACTGACTTTTTCGATGATGCCGGCTATGGAAAACGTTGAAGTTTTGGGGGCATTTGGTAAAAAATTAAAAGGTTTTGTTTTCTCACTGGATTCTTAATGTAATGAGTTGAACTCTTCAGGGAATTCAATTCTGGCCTCTAGGCAGCTCGTGTAAACTTTTGAGAAATTTTTGTGGATTTGGATTTTTGGGTCAAAAACTGACTTTTTCGATGATGCCGGCTATGGAAAACGTTGAAGTTTTGGGGGCATTCGGTAAAAAATTAAAAAGGTTTGTTTTCTCACTGAATGTAATGAGTTGAACTCTTCAGGGAATTCAATTCTGGCCTCTAGGCACCTCGTGTAAACTTTTGAGCAATTTTTGCCGAGTTGGATTTTTGGGTCAAAAACTGACTTTTTCGATGATGCCGGCTATGGAAAACGTTGAAGTTTTGGGGGCATTTTGTAAAAAGCCAAAAAGTTTTGTTTTCTCACTGGATACTGAATGTAATGAGTTGAACTTTTCAGGGAACTCAATTCTGGCCTCTAGGCACCTCGTGTAAACTTTTGAGCAATTTTTGTCGAGTTGGATTTTTGGGTGAAAAACTGACTTTTTCGATGATGCCGGCTATGGAAAATGTTGAAGTTTTGGGGGCATTTTGTAAAAAGCCAAAAAGTTTTGTTTTCTCACTGGATACTGAATGTAATGAGTTGAACTCTTCAGGAAATTCAATTCTGGCCTCTAGGCACTTCCTGTAAACTTTTGAGCAATTTTTGCCAAGTTGGATGTTTGGGTCAAAAACTGACTTTTTCGATGATGCCGGCTATGGAAAACGTTGAAGTTTTGGGGGCATTTGGTAAAAAATTAAAAAGTTTTGTATTCTCACTGGATACTGAATGTAATGAGTTGAACTCTTCAGGGAACTCAATTCTGGCCTCTAGGCAGCTCGTGTAAACTTTTGAGAAATTTTTGTCGAGTTGGATTTTTGGGTCAAAAACTGACTTTTTCGATGATGCCGGCTATGGAAAACGTTGAAGTTTTGGGGGCATTTTGTAAAAAGCCAAAAAGTTTAGTTTTCCCACTGGATACTGAATGTAATGAGTTGAACTCTTCAGGGAATTCAATTCTGGCCTCTAGTCACCTCGTTTAAAATTTTGAGCAATTTTTGTCAAGTTTGAATTTTGGGTCAAATACTGACTTTTTCATTGATGCCGGCTAAGGAAAACATTGAAGTTTTTGGGGCATTTGGTAAAAAATTTAAAAGTTTGTTTTCTCTCTGGATACCGAATGTAATGAGTTGAACTCTCCTGGGAATTCAATTCTGGCCTCTAGGCACCTCCTGTAAACTTTTGAGCAATTTTTGTCAAGTTTGATTTTTGGGTCAAAACTGACTTTTTCGATGATGCCGGCTGTGGAAAACGTTGAAGTTTTGGGGGCATTTGGTAAAAACTTAAAAAGTTTGTTTTCTCACTGGATACCAAATGTAATGAGTTGAACTCTTCAGGGAATTGAATTCTGGCCTCTAGGCACCTAGTGTAAACTTTTGAGCAATTTTTGTCTGTCTGGATTTTTGAGTCAAAAACTGACTTTTTCGATGATGCCGGCTATGGAAAACGTTGAAGTTTTGGGGGCATGTGGTACAAAAGTAAAAAGGTTTGTTTTCTCACTGGATACTGAATTTAATGAGTTGAACTCTTCAGGGAATTCAATTCTGGCCTCTAGGCACCTCGTGTACACTTTTGAGCAATTTTTGTCAAGTTGGATATTTCGGTCAAAAACTGACTTTTTCGTTGATGCCGGCTAAGGAAAACTTTGAAGTTTTGGGGGCATTTGGTAAAAAATTTAAAAGTTTTGTTTTTTTCACTGGATACTGAATGCAATGAGTTGAACTCTTAAGGGAATTCAATTCTGGCCTCTAGGCACCTCGTGTAAACTTTTGAGCAATTTTTGTCGAGTTTGATTTTTGGGTCAAAACTGACTTTTTCGATGATGCCGGCTGTGGAAAACGTTGAAGTTTTGGGAGCATTTTATAAAAAGCCAAAAAGTTTGGTTTTCTCAGTGGATACTGAATGTAATGAGTTGAACTCTTCGGGGAATTCAATTCTTGCCTCTAGGCACCTCGTGTAAACTTTTGAGCAGTTTTTGTCGACCTGGATTTTTGGGTCAAAAACTGACTTTTTCGATGATGCCGGCTATGGAAAACTTTGAAGTTTTGTTTCGATGATGAAGTTTTGGGGGCATGTGGTAAAAAATTAAAAAGTTTTGTTTTCTCAGTGGATACTGAATGTTATGAGTTGAACTCTTCAGGGAATTTAATTCTGGCCTCTAGGCACCTCGTGTAAACTTTTGAGCAATTTTTGTCGAGTTGGATTTTTGGGTCAAAAACTGACTTTTTCGATGATGCTGGCATCATGATCCCTAAAACCTGGCTGAAATTTCTTCCAAGTAAATATGCTGTATTTGTTCTGATTGAAATGCTTTGTTCACTGGCTTCCAATGTTTTTCCTAGTTTTGGATGCGATGCTTCTATGCAGTTTAAACCCCGCTCCAATCTATTTCTTTGTTCAAGTGTTCAAAAACAAAGCAAATTTCAAGTAAAATGACTCAAAACGGACAAAGATAAATTTGTAGGCATTGATCCCTGAAACCTGGCTGAAATTTTTTTCAAAGTAAATTTTTCTGTATTTGTTCTGTATTATTGTTCTGATTGGCATGTTTTGTTCACTGGCTTCCAATATTTTTTCTAGGTTTGGATACGATGTGCTCCTGTGGCAGCCAGCAGCCCCTACCCCACGGGACTGTAATGACGGCTACGCCTCAGTGGGACTGCCTAGGCTAGACCTGGCTGGCCACCTAGCTGGGGCCGGCATGCAGGAGAGATTCACCATGTGTCAGTCGGGCCTCTATGTCGGTAAGACCCAAATGACCAAACCTCCTCTATTGGTATGGGCTCTTGATCAAGTGTTGAAGTCGAGTCATAGTGCTTTACATTCGCAGATAGTTTAGTATTCAATTATTCGAAGTTGCACTTGTTGAATATTCAAATATTCAAAATCAAGGGATTTGCATGTGTTTGCACTTGTTTTGAAAATTGACAAAGAGGTCATTAAAGGTGCATTTTATTAAAGGTCAACGGTTAATGATGTCGCGAACACCTAGTTTAAAGGGCCTATGTAATGGAATTCTAGCTAGATAATATAAAGAACATCATGTATGTATCGATATATTTTTCCGAGGTAACGGAATGGCTGATATTTGACAGATTTTAAAGTTCTCAAATCATGCGTGTAAAGTGGTTTTCCACAAAACTGATTGCACTTGGCAAACAATACGACCACGTAACTGATACAATTAAAACAAAATTTGGATATTTGCCATCATTTGGATTGAACAAAATGCTATTCGGGTATTCCTTAATTTTCTGTTGGGTATTTCTTTTTACCAGACTCAGACTCAGACACCGAGGAGGACAGCGGTGGCTTCTACTCGGCGCTCAGACAGAAATCCACCCATCAAACTCAGACCGGCAACTCCCAGAGCTTCCTGGCACTCAGTCTCACCATCAACCACGGCAAACTCACCATGTGCACTCCACTAAAGGTCGGTGGTTAATGCCGTCGCTAACACATAGTTAAACTGTATTTCATGAAGCTTTTGTAGAAACAGGGCCTGCTAAGGAGAGCCAATGTGTGGGACATTGGGTTGCATAGAGTATGCATGATCACTTTTCAATCTCAATGTGGGTAATCTTGAAGCATCTTTGCATGCAAAAGAAGGTACCGGTATCTGATGAGTGTGGTTGCGCAGTTGCAGTTGCCGTTGCACTCAAGCATCCATTGTCGTAGGGGTTACGTATGCGTATTAATGTAGGGTTTGGCCTAAGGATGTTGTCGAGTCCATCACAGGTCCAGACTCAAGTAAATCACAAGCCCTTTCATAAGTCCAGTCACAAGTAATCACAAGTCCATCACAATTCCAGTCACAAGTAAATCACAAGACCATTCACAAGTCCAGTCACAAGTAATCGCTTGACCATTCACAAGTCAAGTCATAGAGAATCACAAGCCCTTTCATAAGACCAGTCACAAGTAATCACAAGTCCATCACAATTCCAGTCACAAGTAAATCACATGTCCATTCACAAGACCATTCACAAGTAAATCACAAGTCCATCACAAGTCCAGTCACAAGTAATCACAAGCCCATTCACAAGTAAATCACAAGACCATTGACAGGTCCAGTCACAAGTTAATCACAAGATCATTCACAAGTCCAGTCACAAGTAAATCACAAGTCCAGTCACAAGTAAATCACAAGTCCAGTCACAAGTAAATCACAAGTCCAGTCACAAGTAAATCCCAAGACCATTCACAAGCCCAGTCACAAGTAAATCAAAAGTCCAGTCACAAGTAAATCAAAAGTCCAGTAACAAGTAAATCACAAGCCCATTTACAAGTAAATCACAAGACCATTCACAAGTCCAGTCACAAGTAAATCACGCGTCCAGTCTCAAGTAAATCACAAGACCAGTCACGAGTCCAGTCACAAGTAAATCACAAGTCCAGTCTCAAGTAAATCACAAGACCAGTCACAAGTCCAGTCACAAGTAAATCACAAGTCCAGTCTCAAGTCCAGTCACAGGACACAATGGATGAACACTAACAAAGAAATTCCTTTGTCAAAGCTCATATGAATAGCTTGTGAGTTGAATTGGGACTGGAGGACTTGTGATAGACTTGCAGGGACTTGTGATGGACTCAACTCCATCCCCTGTAAGGCCTCTCTCAAGCTTATCAGAGAGACCTTTGAAGACTTTAGTGGAACTCGAACCTTAACCTCCAGCTTACATTTGCAACTTTTCCATATTGACGTTAAAAAAAGCACTGGTGGACATTACATGGGGGGTGAGACTGACAAGCATCATCGGTTTCTAGCCAACCCTTAATTAAAAAAAAAAGGTATTTCTCTAAATCCTTATCATATTTCTATTGTGATGTTAGAGCGAAACGAACCAAACTTGGATTCTTACTTGTTACCACAGGAAAGTTCCTTGCACGGAGAGACTATGCTGGAGATAGAAGACGGCTCCCTGTTCACGGTGACAGACTACAAGGGGAATGCCAACATGAGTTACCTGTGCCTACAGGCCAACAGGATTGCCTTATACCACAACGGTGAGTATAATCCACTGGCCAGATACATGTACCAAGTGGCCAGACAATTTTAGCGGACTTAAACATATTTGGTATTTCGGCCAAACAAATTATTAAAATGGGATGATGTTTCATCTATTATCTAAAATTATTCATCGCAGCTTAAAGTTCAACGTTACTCAATGAGCAGTTTTGACTCGCACCTACCTAACTCTTCCAATTGCTGCACTGGACAATGTTTTTTTCTTTGTTCTAATGTTCGGAAAATATCAAGCTCCATTCTATGTGACGGTAGTTGGGGAGATACCTTCCTTAATCCTGGGAAATCCTCCAAAATGATAAGATACATTTTGAAGTGGGTCCAGGATGGTCAATTTGCATGTGTTACGTCTATTATGCCTTCTGTTCCGCCACCACTCAATTTCTTTAAAAGAAAATGTTGTAGTGATTGTCTTGATTGTGTAATTGTTGTGATTAAAGCCAGTGTGATTCACTGTCTGTCTGTGTGTAGAACCAAGTTGGTTAGCATCTTTTCATGTTGGTCGTTAAAAGCTTTGTAATGTGGCTGATTTTATATCTGGCAATCTGTATGTCCGTCAATTCATCTGATTTCTGGTGTTTTGCTGTGGATGTCCACATCCCCTGGTGTTTAATTATATAATCAATGTTTTGCCAGATACCAGGTTCTGAGTTCAGCTATTTAGTTTAAAAAAATAAATGTGTGGGGCCGTCAAAGTGAACACATCCTGCCATTTCCAAAATTACTGATCAATTTAAACCTATCCTTGCTTTGAGTAGGCCCACAATTGTCATCACTCAAAAACACCATAGTAAATACAATTGTTTTCTTTTATGATATTGCCCATGGTTCCCTACACCATCATGGGCACTTTGCAACCTCCCTTTGGCGAACACATTGCGCACAAATTGCCATGGACCACATCATACAAGGTTTTATTTCCAAAATACAAAATATCCATTTTAAAAAGTGAAAAAGTTGTACGGTTATGAAAACTTATAGAACATAACAGCTGTTTCTAAGCTACATTTTGTGTTGCTTTTCATTCTTAAACCGTGTAGAACTATATTTAACAGCTGTCAACACTGACCTTTGGTAATCAGGAAAGTGTGGGATTCTAAACGGTTACAAAGTGGCGTTTATTACATTTTGAAAACAAACTCTTCATATACTAAATTTGGATGATCTTGTTAGCCTTTGCCGTAGAACACAATTAGACTGCAGACCAGCATATTCAAGTCCAGCTTTTTCATCTCTCGTTTCTCTCCGCAGGCCAAGTAGAAGCACCCATACCGAAGGGCCCCCTCCCCCACGCCACATGGGCCCCGCCAGACCACCTCAAGTGCTGCATATACCTGTCCGATAGCGGGGTCCCTAGTAAACTCAGCGGGGGTGTCGGTACCGGGGCTGACAGCCACCACATGGTGGCGCTGGCCATGAAGATGTTCTTCAACCCAGAGACCAATATCAAAGTGAGTTGTGGGCGACAATTCTTTGAGGATGACCGTTGGATAAAACTAAAGATAGGGAACTAGTGACTTCACACATTGTAACTTTACACAATGGTGTAACTCGACTTGCTCTACAATTTAATGCGTAAGTTGTGCAACATTTCACACTGCACAAAATTTTAGTTATGACACATTTTACGAAAATTTCATAATGTTGAAGTCAGTGACCTGCACAACAAATTATGGCATAACTTGTGCAGTGGCATAGCAACTGAAATGAACTATTTCACTGGCAAATTGTGATCGTCGTGGAGCCTGTCATTGCAAAACTAATCAAGGTTGGTACAAGACACTCACAGCTTTTTGTTTCAGGTAAATGAATTACTATTTCACCTGTGACAGAAGTTTTAGATTCGCCACATGATTCCGAAGAAAGTCGGCCAAAAACATTTTTCAAAATGGCGAGCGGAGGTGATTCAGCAACTTTTTCAGCGACTAACCGAACAAAATAAAATGCTGTTGTTATCCTCGTCCAAGATGTTTAGATTCTTTAAAATGTTGCGCAGCTATGCCATATTTGTTGCGTAAATCCTACGCATGGGGTAAATTATGCACTGCTTCACTATATTAGGACGTAATCACTTTTCCCCATCTGGCTTCCATAAGAAACGTCAATATTCTTAGGGTTATCCCAGTTTTATTTCTTCGCTACACTTACACCAACATTGTACCAGATGAGGACATATATGGAAATAATGATTGACAATTTCCATTTTATTGCATGTTCAAATTATTACCAGAGGGTCTTGGACAGATAGACTTTGTTGTTCAGCAGTACCTATCGCTCTGCTCAATTCCAACCTGCCGGCTTGTGATTTTTTTCCAGTGAAGGAGAAAACTCATTATTTAAACTTGAGTTCCCCGTGCTCATCAACCAATTTGATTTTCTCTATGAATGAATTTTTAACTTGTATGTTTTATTCCAACCAAAGAAAAATCCTCTTTACCTTTTTCAGACGTCTGCAAACTTCTGCCTTAAAAGTTTTTTGTTTTGGGCACAAAGAGATCCACTTTGTGAGCAGACTGGCTCCCGGTCCGTACATTATCAATATTGATTGTGGGGTGGGAACCAGCCTTCTCCGCGAGAGCAGGAATTATTGTCTGGCAGCCAATAATTACAAGTTGTATTTAGGAATAACTCAATTATTCAGGATGAAACTGGAAAATAGCACGAGAAATACATCTTAAACTTTGCTCAATATTTAAGACAATATTGTGTTTTTTCTATGGATATTTTAGCGCAGTTATAATTATCTGATCATTGCAGAACATGGAATGTGCCGTCGGCATCAGAGGAGCAACATTGCGTCATTACATGACCAAACCAGAACATAGCTGGTTAGTCCAGGTAAGTGTTTAAAGGCACAGACACAAGTACATGTAATTTAAACTTCATTGTTGAACCAATGCAAAGACTTTCCATACACACGATAACAGAAAGGAATTTTACATCTACTTTTTTAGAACATTTTCACAAATCAGTACCTGAAAATGGTTCACTGCCTTTCAGCAGATTGTCACCACACCAGCTACAACCACAGTTGTGCTTATTTTTTCTTCAAAGAGGGGAATCAAGCCAATTATGAAACGGATTCACAACAGCCACAGCAAAACCACGGTGTTCACTGGGCCATTGCATTACACGTGAACCAGTAAGCATGGGCGTGTTCATCTATTCAAACCGTGGACGAAAAATTCCAGAGAACAATATCATCCACGATTCCCAGCATACGTCCGCGATTGGGGTCGTGTACAAAACCTATGGGAGTCTTCCTAAAAAGTTGAGGTACAAACAAAAGAGGGACAATAGGACGTCCACGATCGACGGTGTGAACGTGCTTGTATGGTTGCACCGAATTTACCTCTGAGTGACGTTATGACTATTCCAGCGAATAAACAAAAAATTTTTATGACCCAGTTGCAAGTCCCATAGGTAGAACGTAGGAAGGGAGAGGCATAATGATCAGTCATATAAGGTTTCAACAAAACGTTGAGAATACATTGTTCCCTTGCATTTTTTTGCTTCAGCTTAGTGATTTCTTTGATGTTGTCGATGAGGAAGTCTTGGGCTATGCCATGCCGTCAGTTGTCACTGAGTTCCATGCTCACTTCTGGGGCTGTGGGATCGATTACAGGTAAGGTGTTTATTTAACTTGTTATAAATTAAACCCCTCGACATCAGTTAGCATTTTCCACTCACGGTTCCGGGACCGTACTACAGTTTGTAGCACATTTTCGGAATTAAGAAATCGTTTGACTGACAAAGGTTGGAGTACATGTAATTAACAAATTAAGCAAACCGGACACTTTTCAGTATGTTGCCTGCGTGAGGGATTTAACAAACTTTGATGCTCACTAAACTGGGAAATGTACGTAGTGAATAGTACATTAGTGAATAGTTACATGTCAGCAGTCCCAAATGAGTAATAACTTCTGCAGATTGTTGGTTTTAATGAAGCTTACTGATTGCAGTGCATGTGTCCACATGGCAATAAAAACACATGGTCACTAATTGTTTCTCTCCATCTAGGGGTAAATGGGCACCTGTCGAGGCAGAGATGGTTATGTGTAAATTAGCCATTTGTGCAGAAATGGCATCCAGCTGTATACTCCAAAAGGGTGCTGAGATGGTCTTAAGAATTTGTTGTGTGCTCGATGAGCAGGCCACAAATGTTGGCATCAATCTCATCTTTACAAATACACATTTTTACAAAAATACAATTGTTGACTTGTTGGTTTATATCATTCCACAGACCGCTTCACCTCCCGTTGAGAACCTACTTAATGGCCGAGACACTTAGTATATCCAGCAACTTAGTCTACGAGGCCAAAGAATCATTATTGAGGTAAGAGGAGATGTTTTCCCCGACTGCTTCCATCTTCCCAAACCCCAACTGTCCCATTTTCCTTAAAACTCACGAGGATTTTTAGGATGATTTTCAGGATTTAGGAAGGAATATCTCTGCTCTTATCTACTTGTATTGGGCTTGATGTCTTTGAAGTATTTCTTTGTTTGTTCTCGTTCATCTTCCTGTTCCTTAGGTTCCTTGTGGATGATGCAGCAGTCTTCCTATCAGACCAGTGCAAAGAGAGATCCGTTGATATCAGAAGTAGTAAGTGCCGATCAGTGCTCACTGTACTGTCCCTTAGTTAACTACTCTACGAATACTACTGTCAACGTCAAGTTTTACTGATAAAGATTTACCGAGCTTCAATCTCAATATTGGTTCTTGACACATACCCTCAAGTGTTGAAAATGCATATAACTGTTCACTAATGGCACTTTGGTGTGTTGGCTGTCATGTGCCGGGAACCTAATTTGGTCCTCCTTTCAAAAGGGTTGGCAAAAGGTACAAACAGTATGATATAGTTTCTTCTGTCAGGTTTTTTTTAAACTCAGTACATGCATAGAGCAACTCTTCCTAAACATACCCAAGAAATTTCATGACTATAGGTTAATAGGTTTTAATTAATTATTCATATGTACGAATGGCAATTCTGCTCTGTGTACATGACGTATATGGGAAAATTCTGTTTTCACGGCGCGTAGCGGTGGAAAATTTTTCGCTATGCAGCAACCCGTGGTCTGATTTTTATGTTTTTGGTATCAAAAGATGCGCAAAGCTCGAGGCTAAAAAGTCATAACAGCTCGGGTTGCGAAAAAGGGTTAAATTGTAAACCCAACATTTTTGGTTACTAAAAACATTTGTGCACAACATTTGTTCATAGACTTAATTTCATGTACCGATACAACGATGCATTACCAAAGCCAAAACAATTATTATGGAAATCCCCTAAAATTCCGGCAAGTTTTGATGCTGGAGCAGCTGTAACACTGAAGTTTCTGCCTAAAATGACATCATAGTTTTGCTCATGAATATGGAAATTCGCTCGAGCAGCAAAACCAAAGAGGCATCAGAACACCCTTCAATATGGAAATATGAAGATTGAAAATAAAGATAAATGGGACATTAAAGTTCCATTGTTAATGTTCTTTTTTTCTTCTTTTTTACAGATTATGTGTGTGTCTTAGATCTGGGCATGTTGGAAATTTCACTCAGGATGAGCACAGATAAGGATAAGGTAAATTAATAAAAAAAATAGGAAGCAGATACAGTGGAACGCCGCTATAACGAACATCGCGGGATCCACAGAAATTGTTCGTAAACATTAAGTTAACCCATCATCACCTATACTACGTTGTATTTCATTGTATTTATTCCTTGAAGACTCTATAAATCCATTGAGTGCTTGGGCAGTTTTGGGCAGTACAGGGACGTGTGGGTTATCTTGTTTTCCCCTGAACCACACAAAATCATACTCATGATTGTACCACAACACTTCTTTACTCACTTGTGAGGCGTTCTGGCAAAATGAGACAGAACTGGGCAGAGGTCAAAATGAGGGTTTGCGGGTATTAGGAAACAGAATAATATTCTCCTTACAATACTGTTTGTTGCACTTCAATTGGATATTCCCTTGACAAGCTATGGCTGTTTTAAGTTAAAATATGTGTATAGAAGACATATCAAAGATTACAAATATCTGAAAATTAATCTGGAAATAAAAAAAAATTACCCCATTTGGTTTATTGCATTTTTTTCCACTGCGGTCTATGCCGAGTTCCATCTCTTTTTGCCAAAACATCTCGCACTTTTTTAAAAAAAAATCCTCAGAATCCCAAGATTGACCTGAAGGTGTCCAACAATATGGTGCACCTGCGTACCTGCGCAGACTCCTGCACGGCGTTAGCCAGACTAATCCTGTATCTTGCCAATGACGGTGACCACCAGTCCCCACCACGGCCGACATCGTCACAGCAGTGGAGCGACTACCAACAGCAACCACAGCAACAAATAGATAGGGATGATGAGGTAGGTCAGGTCAGGTCAGGCCAGGTAAGGTTGGGCCCAAATTTATGATGTATTGTACGTTTGTAGACATTTAGGACTATTTGTACTGCCATAAAAACATAGATTTACACTGTGATTGACACCAGATTTTGCCCTAAAAATTGCTAGTAACATTCTTATTTTGTGACAAAGAGGAATTTTTAGTATTTTTAAAGTCACACTAACTGAAAAAAAGAATCACTTCAGTCGAAACTCGAGTGAAAATTTGGTCTATTTGATTGAGTGAATTTCACTCTAAAATGTCTGGTCCCTGGTTTCAGTCAGTGGGAGGGAATTTTTACTCGAATGGAGTGATTTTTCACTCTTTGGAAATAAGAGAGTAATTGTTGCCATTGCGTTAGGTGATTCTGCCTGCAAATCTGTTGTCTTGGGCTACTGTCTAGATCTACCATTACAGCTACAAAGGCAAATGCTGATAATAGTCAAAGCCTTAGCTCTGGATGAATGTTTTTGGACACTAAACGACTCTTTATTGAAAATATCCAAGACCAAAAATGTATTCACAGAGCGAACAGATGAAACGGGCATCATAATCTATAGCTTGACCGCTTTTTGTAATCTGTCAGAAATCAACATTCAAGTTCGGACAGACTTTGAATTCGTCTTTCCAATTCAAAGCAGAGAGTTTATTAAATAGCAGAGAGTCTAAATTTTTTATTTAAGATTTAACCAATCAAACAACCTTTTGCATGGCAGGAACAATTTGAAATGAACGGCCAGCCTATATCGGACAGTCCGATTGGCTGCGGCAATCACCTTGATCAGATGCAGCAGTTGATGGATGAGGCCATGAGGGACGTGAGGTCAGGCATGTCACCCCCAGCGGAGGAAGGTATGTACATAAAAGGAGTTGAGCACTGACAAGGGACTGCCTTTGTTATGGGATTGTTACTGCATTTTTCTCACTTGAAGAAACAAAATTGCTAAAAAAAAAAACAGAGAAAAGCTATGCGTAAATGTTGGATCTTGTAAGTGGACTCTATTGTTAGCACTTCCGATTCAAAGCTGCCTATTCATTATTAGATGGAATTTGCATCGGGTTGATGTGAATTCAATATTGGGTTTGCCCTTCACCGAAGTATTATATAAACACTGTATACTCAGTGTTGACCTGAGTGATTGTGAGAACATATTCAAAAAGTTCTTGAGTGGGACTCGAACCCACGACCTCCTGCTTACTAGTGCAGATATTGCCACTTGTCATTTCTGGTAATAAGCCATTTGCGAGTGACCTATACCCGTTGCGTATTAAATCTGAATAACATCTGGTACACTGACTTGCTCAGAATGCTTGGCACGTTTTAACTTTGAATTCTCCAAACCAAAGACACTGTTGCTAATCACATGATTGGGGACAAGCTCTTGCATAGTTACGTAAGAGACGCTCAGCATCAATACATTGTTCACAATGGGTGAGAATGGCACAAAGACACCAGACCATGCCGGAGCTGGGGGTTACTAGCATAAGGTTTGCCCCGAATCGCGTGATATAGTAACAATCTCTTTGGTCTGGAGAATTCAAAGTTAAAATGTGCCAAGCATTCAAAGAGCAAGTCAGGGCACCAGATGTTACTCGAGTTAATGTTCCTACGTACCTTTTAATACCTTATCACTTTACTTACGACTGGATTATGATTGACTTTATGACATGTGAGGACTTGACCCCAACCCTGTTTTTGCCTTTGAAAAAGTTGATGTTGGACTAAAATGTTCTCATACCTCCAGGCACGCCCATCAACATTGCCTGCACTCTGAGAAGAGACGGGGACCTCTTCCTCTTTCCTAATGAGGACCAGGCAGATGATGAAGATATTACCGAGGATGCGAGCTTGCAGCATCACCACGGCAACTCCATGAACGGCCTCTCAGAGCCCATCTCAGGACACTTTGAGATGACTGCGGAGGATGAAGTCGAAGGGTTCTTTAACGATGAGGAGTTTTGTGTGCTAGACGACCCCGGCATGGGTGTACTGGTAAGCTGAATTTTTTTGTTTTGGGGTTTTAGTTTTTTGGTGGTTTTGTGTTGTTTATTGTGGGTTTTTTTGCTTTTCTTTAGCAAATTTTTTTTTAAACGCAATATTTGCATTGTGTGTGTTTTTTTTTTTTTGGGGGGGGGGAGGGGGGAGGTTGTGTTGAAGCCCCAAAAGGAAATGTTTGCATCAGATTTGTCTGAGTTTCTAGCAAATACAGAAGTCAAGAATTACAATCTTAAGTCTTAGCCCTAACTACCCAACCCTTCAAAATCCAACTGCATGGTTTGTTGGGATCTGTTGGAGTGAGGACTGCAATAGTAAACTGATTATGTTTTACATGGGGTCAGGCATACCACCATAATCAGAGGCCAACAGTTTGGGTGTAGAGTTTACCATATGGCGTTGGATTTTGCAAGAGTGAGGAAGGTTCCTAGTAAATCATTGGAGGTGGTTAGGGTTCAAGCATTGTCAACTGCCTGGGTCACATTCAGATAAAGCTTTATCCTATCTATTTCTGAGCAGTAGTAGCTTTAACTTTTTGGGGTTTTTTTCACTCTGATTTTTTTTTAAAGACTTCTGAAAGAGGTTTGATGTTTCAAATTTCTAGTCCAGTTCTTAAAGTTGACTGCCAGGCAATAGTTTAGATGACCTGATCTGTTTCGGTTTTTTTTTAAAGCTGTGAGATGAGCACAAACCTCATGGAGACTTTTTGTTTTCATTTCTAAATAGTTTAATTTAGAAATGACACTATCAACTTGTTACTAACACAGGATCTACATCGTAAAACAACCGTAGAAAGTTTTAGACATCCAACTCAAATATTGTTATCAATGCCTCTCTTTCTAGGGGAGTGAGGCCTAGTGGTTAGGGTTTGTGACTCATGATCAGAGGGTCAGGGGTTCAAATCCAGTTGCTGACCGTATGTTGTGTCTTTGGGCAAGCCACTTCACCCCACTTACCTCTCTCCACCCAGGAGTATAAATGGGTACCGGCATTGGCTGGGGAGTAACCTGCGATGGACCGGCATCCTGTCCAGGGGGAATCGAAATATTCTCTGTCGTTTCCTGTCAAGTAAACCAGAGATAAACGCTGGCCCAATGGGCCTGGCATATGGGCTTAATTTTGACCTACTTTACTTTATACTCTCTATCTCAAAGCGTCATCAAGGCGAACCCGAGGTCAAGTGCTTTGACGACAACCCCGTTTCCATCAAAGAGGACCACTTTACGCGCCCGTTGGGCCGAGGGGACCAGCTGAACGCACCGGTTCACTTCCCGACACCGGTCGGCAAGTACACGCTGCAGGAGATGACCGTAGTGTGGCACATCTATGGGGGCAATGACTTTGGGCCGGCTTCACAGCAGAAACTGTCTGTGCCTGGTAAGTGGATCGTTGAAAGGAAAATGGATGTGGGCAATTCCATTATAACGCATTACGTTTAAAATGGGACCTTCTGTCAACTCTGTGTTGTTATTTCCTAAAAGTCAAAGCATTTAGAGTGGATTTTCCTCCATAATTTTAGCCAAGAAAAAAAACCATGTTTTTTACTAAAATAATACATTTGACCACATTCCATCTCACAGGCACACCATCCAAATGAACGGTCTTGTCCCCTTTAATTTGATACCACATTTGAGATTGTGATGTTTGTAGTTCTGAATATTTCATAGATGTTCCACTTTTCAACCATGACCACTTTTCACAAGTGTACAGGTGACATGCTCTATTTAAAGATATAGTCCATCATTTGTAATTTGTGCATTTGTTCGTTTGAAGCAACAAAAGTGCTCAAAATCTAATGAAGGATGCTGAACAACTAACCTGATGAAGTTTCAGCTCAGCTTCAGCTGTATATTCCGAGAAAGACAGCATTCTAGGATCTCAATTTCAAATCAAAAGTTGCTGAATCATGTTTTGAATTGGGCCTGAATTGCGTCCCAGACGCATTCTCACTGAACCGATTGCAGCTATATGCGACGTCGCACACTGATCCGACGAATTATAGCAACCACGCGCACGTGTGCGTCGTTCCAATGCTTGCGCTCGCTTCGCCGAATAACAAAACGAACTACTAGGTTAAATTTTCCTACGGTGCGTCTTAAGATGCACCGTTGGAAAGGCCTTCTTTCGTTGATTACTTCAAAATGACAGCTCCCCAGAAAGAATAATTTCCCAGGGAGTTTAGTCCCCTTACTATCTTTCAACCAAGTATGTTTTTCAACAATAATTACGCCAGTTACTTTTCGGATGGCTGCAAATGATGGACTATAGCTTTAAAGCACCGCCAATTCGGTGCTTGTACTTCCCATTGACTGCTAAACTAACTGGACTGGCTGATATAACGCATGCATCGAAGCAGCTGTCCGCCATCTTGGATCACCCATGATGCCAAACAATAAACACAAGGTTTGAAAGTGTAGTTGATAATAATGGTGTGTTCTTACCAGTTAGGACTGGGCAATATCCATTGATTATTGTTTCAAGTGAAGAATAAAACCGTTATCTGTACAATGATGGCAGATCGGTTGCTTCAAGATGCATTAGGCAATTGGCTTGTAGCAGTCAGTCCAGTTAGTGTAGAGGACAGAGGTACTTTCCCCCAAAAAAGTTATAATTTGGGACCACTTAAAATGAAGTATTCCTGGACTATTTCATTTGTACTGCCCTTGGATTTTTAAATCAAAATATTTTCTTGCGTGTGTCTCTTTTTTATCCTAGATGTTCAGAGCTCAAGCCCTGTGCGGCCAGGTACCCCCGACAGAACAAGGTTTGTAGATAAAAGATGTCAGCATTGAGAGTTGCTTACAGTAGATCTGGGTTAAAGGAACATAGGATCATGTCAGTTGTCATAATGTCATGCAATGGACTGATTTAAGGCCTATTCATTTATAGCAGACATCGTTCTACTGAGCTGTTTAATGTTTGGTGGCCATTGGTGCTGGAAAAACATGTAAAAAATGCTGTTCATTTTCAATGGCCAAATTGCAGCTCACAAAATCTGTGGTTGACTTGTGAATTGATTTGTGATTGACTTGTGATTTGACTTTTGATTGACTTGTGATTCGACTTGTGATTGACTTGTGATTGACTTGTGATTGACTTGTGATTTGACTTGTGATTGACTTGTGATTTGACTTGTGATTGACCTGTTGATTTGACTTGTCGACTTGTGATTTGACTCATGATTAACTTGTGCTTGACTTGTGATTTGACTTGTGATTGACTTGGGATTGACTTGTAATTGACTTGTGATTTGACTTGTGATTGACTTGTGATTTGACTTGTGATTGACTTGTGATTTGACTCGTGATTAACTTGTGCTTGACTTGTGATTTGACTTGTGATTGACTTGTGATTGACTTGTGATTTGACTTGTGATTGACTTGTGATTGACTTAAGATTGACTTGTGATTGACTTGTGATTGACTTGAATGCACCTCTGCTGCAGGGTGCCTTATAACTGTTGACCTTTGCAATCCAACAGCGGTAGTCCGGCATCCAGGAAGCCCAAGCAACAACAGAGCTATCAGCAGCTTAGCTGGTATGAGAGAGGGGGACCAGGCAGAGACCACTCCACGTTAATGGAACTACAGCTGAACAAGGTAAAATGCGAAAAATAAATGTATCAGATGCCCTATTACACTTCTGCTAAGTATATTCATATATAGACTAGTATGGTACGGATTAACCCTAACCCCCATCAGGGTTTCTCTAGGCACCTTGCCCTTTTTCCAACACAATGCAACACGGCCGAAATGAGAACTCTCCTGAATGCAACCGTTGAGAATGCAATGCAGCTGAAATGAGAACCCTGCTAAATGCAACAAGATGCAACAATGTATTATGTTGTATCAGCCTTGGTACTGTGGGCAGTTACCCTGTTAAATGCAACAAGATGAATTTCACGGTACTCGTACTTGAGGAGTAAAGTACTTGGACTCGACTATTTGAAATCGCACTCCATCATCAAAGTACTCTTACTCAATTCTAATTGAGTTTTGAATGAAAAAAATCTCCATACATTCTGAGAATAGTACCAGGCTGTGGAGAGTGTCAATTTCCTTTCTGTTGGTCTTTTCACAGACTACATACTTCGTCTTTATATACAATGTGCGACCGGTGTCTGCGTGGGATCTCATTACTTGAGATTTTAATTGTTTTCACTTGAGTTCTCCATAAAGTACTCATACTTGTACTCGGAGGTCCAAGTACGCAGACTCAGCTTTACACACCCACAAAAGGTCCAAGTACTTGGACTTGGTTACCTGTACTCGTTCTCAAGGGTCAAAGTTCTCGGAATGCGAGTGGCACTCGAATAGCATCTCCCTAACGTACAATGTCTCCTTAATGTCAAATAACGTACTACAAAATCATAATATCTCCCTAATGTACTATTTGATATTGTAAGCCTTCTACTTGGCAGTACTTTGCACTCAGATAAAAGTACTCGACTACAACACTAGAACCTTAGTGTCCTATAAAAAACACTTATGCAGTTTTTTTTTTTTTACTGCTGACAAGTATGCAAAGCATGCATGCAGTCCACCACCACAAGATTTCATAATTGCTGATTCTCGTATTTCTTTGATAACTCTGTTAGGTGAGATTCCAACACGCCCAGTACCCTGACGACTCCCAGCAGCGATCCCGTCAGATCCTACTAATCAGTGACATCGAGGTACGGGATCGGCTGGCCAACTCCCAGATCAACAAGTTCATGTACCTGTACTCCTCAGAGGGTAGGCCTAGGAGAACACGCGCTAACATGGTGAGATGTTTGTTTTGTCTGAAAAGCTCAGGGGTGTCAAAGGCACATGGGATCATTTTCGAAGCGATCAAGCTGAATGAGTCGTTTGTCAGGAATTTTCATTTGGAGATACAGGCCAAAATAGGACCACTTCATCACATCACTTCATCACATCTCTTGGTGTTCCCACTTCCATAATTTTTGAACTAAAGATGGTATCAGCATGCTGTTTTCACAGCAGTAATGCTGAGATTGTGCTCTTTTCAAATCTGTAAAAAAAAAAAAAGACCAGGTTCGATAAACGACTCATTTAGCTTGATCGCATCACATTTCCTTTTCATGCATTTCCATTTCCAGTTCAGTTCATTTCCAGTCATAATACCACTCAAAATCCAAAGGAGTATGTTCAAAACCTAACCTGTTGAAATTTCAGCTCAGTGGATATTACAGTTTTGAGAAGACGGTGAAAAACCACGCACAACTTTTTGATCACGAAACACAATTTCGTCCGTGGAACTCTTCATTTCCAACGATAAGTCAATTGGAAATAACCTGGTAGCAAACCAGACGGAGTAATTTCACGGGTTGTTTTGAACCAGTACGATCTTTACTCCAAATAAGCTCTTTGATGATAATATACTTCCCAGCATTCTGCATCATATGTGATGTGATCAAGCTAAATGAGTCGTTTGTCGACCCTGGTCAAAACATTTTTTTTTATTACAGATTTGAAAAGAGCACAATCTCGGCATTACTGCTGTGAAAACCCCATGCTGATAACATCTTTAGTTCCAAAGTTATGGAAGTCGGAACACCAAGAGATGTGATGAAGTGATGTGATGAAGTGGCCCTATTTTGGCCTGTATCTCCAAATGAAAATTCCCGACAAACGACTCATGTAGATTGATCGCATCACATATACACTTATTATTTGAGAAAAGTGACTTGGAGACAAAATATGAAGGGTTTTGAAGGTTTAGAGACTATGAAGGTTAGTGAGACATTAAATTTGGAGTTGTTTGCAACTTTTTTTCAGGTGTTGGTGAAAGCGTTACATATCCGTCCAGACCCTGACCTAGCGGCAGAGGAATGCTGCCTACGCATCTCTCTTCAACCGCTAAGGCTCAATATAGACCAGGTACAGTAATAGGTCATACTCATGGATGGTCAGTCGGTTTGTGCATATCATAGCACGGCAATCAGTCATGAGGGGTACATTTGACTAGCGTGTTTGTGTAAGCTATAAACTGTTTGTCTGATATCAGTAACTATGTAATGTACTCACAGTATGCTAAATTCATGGGCAAGTTCGCACAAGAACTATTGTTAACCATAGTTCGACTAAGTTAGCCCGAACTCTGTCGAGTCGACAATGGTTGGACTACAACTAGTCGACTATTTGGAACCAGTTTACTGAGCCTGGTCGCATCGCTGGTTAGCAATAGCCTCGTTTCGTTACTTGCAGTGCAGAGGGAACCATTGACAAGAGATTAAACGTAGCGAGTTGTACTACCCGCTGGTGGGCCTCGGATATATCTTCCGGTTCATTCAACAGGTCAAAGAACGTAAACAATCCAAACATACTCGTGACCACCATATGTTGATGATGGTTCGACTACAGTCGTTGGCACTTTTAATGTTACAGCGCATGCGCACTGTTTGACAACAACCAACCATTGGTTGACTAATGGTTGTTGCGCGAACTTGCCCCATGCTCTATGGACTCTGTGCACAAGAACCCCCTCAACGGTTACAAAGGGAGAGTTGGGGGAGACCACTGGGGGAGACATTCCAATGTATTGGTGACGATGTGCGATGCTCATGCGACACTCACGCTAAGACATAATGTGTTTGTGCACATTCAGAACAAAAATTATCTGCAGGGCAGATAGATCACCACTCTTTGTTTCTTAAAAGTATTTTTGATTGTTTTTTTAGGACTCCTTGTTCTTCCTTCATGACTTCTTCAGCAAAGTGTCATCAGACGCTGGCAAGGTGCCTGTACCAGGTCAGCAAGCTTACCCTTGTTTACCATAATCAGTTAATCAAACTTCATAACCATGTCAGAGATTCTATTAAATGATTCTATCATATCATAGCTCGGCAATCAGTCATGAGTGATAAAAGAAGATTGATAATGATAATAATAATAATTACAGGCATTTATATAGCACTTTTAAACGGGGTATCTAAGCGCTTTACAAGTATTATTCCCCCTGTTCAATGGGCAAACACTCCTGAAACCTTCTCAACTCCCTGGGGAGCATACACGGCCAGTAATCAGCCATTTCGGCGCTCTTGGCCGTAATCAACCTCTCACAGTCACCAACACTGCCCTCACAGGTACCCATCTACTCCTGGGTGGAGAGAAGCAAAGAGTGACAAAGCGCCTTGCTCAAGGGCACACCCACTATAGCCCCAGGCTGGACTTGAACCCACAACCTGCAAAATTATCCGCAGACCACAAATTCAATACTCCAGACCACTAGGCTACGGCACTCCACAAGCTAATCATTCTTAGCAGATTCTATCACTTCAGTCGTTCAGCATTTTTATCAGCAACTTTTATATTATGAAAGTTACTTCTTTTTTGTATGACGTTACGTTTTTCCTCCTTTAACCTTTCAATGAATTCTGTCAGAAACCAAAGAACACCTACATCACTATGCAACAAGCCCCGCCAAACCCCGCCCCACACCCACGGCCGCACCCACGACCACACCCGCCTCCAGACCCCGCAGCCTGTCCCCAGTCTCCATAGAGCAGTTGCTTGCAGACGGTATGGAAGAAGGAGAGAGAGACATGGACGATTGGCGGGGCTACGGGGATGACTCGATGGACGACTTCGATCAAAGAGAACTGGAGCCGGAGTCACCGCCAGAGACCCATAATGCACCCAGCTTGGTAGTGACCGAGGGGAACACAAAGGGGGCAAGCACACCAATCTTCTTCAGGTAAATAGACGGAAACGGTCCCTGTAGCCTGTTTTAGAAGACCAATGTCCAATCTGGGGCCAATTTCACGGAGATGCTAATTACAAAAATTTGCTTAGCATGAAAAATCTTCCTTGGCAAAAACAGGATTGCCAACTAAATGTCTTATTCACTTCAATATCCTAGTACCATCCCTCTCAACACTCACCCAGCCAAACCCATTCCCTGGTCAGCTTCCCATACCTCCTCCCCCACACACTTCCTTAATATACTTTAAAGTACATTTATATACCAGTCTGATTTTAGCTTTTAGGATCATGGTTCATTGTCGATTTTGTTTTAACTTTAATGCTTTTAACCATTGTAAAATGACCATAGTTCAGCCTTCGGGCTGCCATGTGTCTTTTACATGAAATAAATAAACCGTGAATAATAAATGTCCATGTGATGTATATTGCTTGTGATTGGTATTCAGCTGTTGTTTGCTTAGCACGAAAATCACATGGAGTTTTGGCTGGTAACCTGCTTTATAAGCCAGACTTTGTTGTGCTAAGCACATTTTTGTGCTTAGCAGATCCGTGAAATTAGCCTAGGTGCCTTCTTTAGACCAGCCCAAGCACGCTCTCAATTCTATCACGAAGGCCCCCTTCAATGGCGAAAGCGTTGTGCTAGCTATTGCTCAGAAAATCCGTCAGGGGATAGTCTTTTTGTACAATAGCATGCACAATGGTTCCTCCATTGAAGGGGGCCTTGTGAGGGTACAGTAATCCCATAGGGATGGCAGAGGCAGAAATCGAACGCAACATCTGGGCCCAATTGCATGGCTCTGCTAACCACAGCATTCCGCGCTTGCAATCACCATTCTCTGTGCTAACAGCGCTAGCAGAAAAAGTCTGCACTAACCCTGTAAGCACAGAATCCTTAGTTACGGGATGCACGCATGCGCAGAAGCTGAAGTTCCTCGCTAACCCATGAAATACGCTTACCGGAAGCAGGGAATTTCTGCTACAGTAAGCAGGGATTTTCGCTAACGGTAAGCAGAGCCATGAAATAAGCCATTTGCGAGTTAAATTTGAATAAAATCTGGAACGCTGACTTAATTCAATGCTTTGCACGTTTTAACTTTGCATTCTCCCAACCAAAGATACTGTATTGAACTATGCCACATGATTCGGGGTAAGCCTTATGCTAGCAACCCCCAGCTCCGGCATGGTCTGGTGTCTTTGTGCCATTCTCACCCATTGTGAATAATATATTGGTGCTGAGCGTCTCTTACGTAACTATGCAAGAGCTTGCCCCGAATCATGTGATTAGCAACAGTGTCTGTGGTCTGGAGAATTCAAAGTTAAAATGTGCCTACATTCTGAACAAGTCAGTGTATCAGATGTTTTTCAAATTTAAATCCCAAAGGCTATAGGTCACTCGCAGATGGCTTATTGGGCTCTGCTTGGATAAAAATAACACAGGAAAATCAATTTTTGGCTGCTACATGTAACAAGAATGCACAAACAATACAATATAATCAGACAAAGGACTTTGATAATAAATTGTGCACAAAAGAGCAAAATGTGTTGTTTTCTGGACATCTTCCATGCATCACACTTCTTACATCGTCTTCCGTCCCTTGCAGGTCATTTGTGTTCTCCCCGGATGTACCAATTAAGCTGGACTATGAGGGCAAGAGAGTAGACATGGAACAGGTAAGGACTGTGTCAAGTCTATGTATTGGATACAAACTTGTTATGGCGAAATCAAACACATGGCGGTCCGTACACACAGTATGGATATATTACAATACAGTGTAAAATGGAAATGCATACATAGGCAATTTTGTTCACTACAGCTCTGATAATTTGGTCATTCATGCGTAACTAGACTGTAAACCATAAATTGTATGTTATTTGTGTGCTTCAAAACTTAAAGGGGCCAAGACATGAAATTTACAATGGAACTTATTTTAGGCAAATGTCCATTCCTCCGAAATGTACGGAAACTGTGAGACTTCCCTTTTTGGTTATAATTTTTGTAAAGTCCACTTTTTCAAACATTTAAAATATTCCATGCCTTAATCCTGACGACTGAGGCTGCTGTTGCTCTGATGACTCTTCAGTTCAGGGATTTTCTGTTCGAATTGTGACCCCACGTTTTTGGTTACTGAAAAACATTTGTGCAAAAAATTTGTCAATAGATTTACTTTCATGTTCTGATACAATGTTTCATTTATTAAGCCCAAAAAATTACGATGGCAAAAACCCAAAAATTCTGAAACCCTTGAAAAGCAGCTGCAACACTGAATTTTCAGCCTAATATGACATCACATGATCACAGTTTTGCTCAGAAATATGGAAATTTGCTTGAGTAGCAAAACCAAAGAGGCATCGAAACACCCTAGAAAAAATGGCAATATGAAGACTGAAAAAAAAAGATAAGTGGGACATAAAGGTGCAATATTCATCAATCCGTCCGTCTGTTTATAGTCTGTCAGTCCCCAAACTCAAGGGTTGTACTCCATGATGATCATGTCTTCTTGGTCGGATAGCTTTCCTCCACTTGATGCTGTTGCTCCACCTTTTCTTTGGATTAATAGTCCATCATTTGTAATTTGTGCATTTTGTTCGTTTGAAGCAACAAACGTTCTCAAAATCTAAAGAAGGGTGATAAACAACTAAGCTGATGACATTTCAGCTCAGCTTCAGCTGTCTTTTTCAAGAAAAACAACATTCTAGGATCTCGATTTCAAATCAAAAGTTGCTGAATCGTGTTTTGAATTGGGCCTGAATTCAGCGTCCGAGACACGTTCGCACTGAGCCGAATGCAGCTACGCGATGTCGCGCACTGATCCGACAAATTATAGAGGGCGCACGCGCGTCGTGTCAACGCTTGCGCGTGCTTCGCCATATAAAAAAAACGAACTACTAACGGAAATTACCAACGGTCTTAAGACGCACCGTTGGAAAGGCCTTCGTTCGTTGATTTCTTCAAAATGACAGCATGCCAGAAAGAATAATTTCACAGGGAGTTTAGTCCCCTCACTGTCTTTCAACCAAGTATGTTTTTCAACAATAAATACGTCAGTCACTTTTTAGATAGCTGCAAATGATGGACTATAGCTTTAAGGATTGCACTGAAAACAATTATTTTTACTTGGGCTATAAAATACAAGGCAAGACTTGAAGTCAGTAGCAGATTTTCTTAGGAGGTTACAAGTTTGAAACACTTTGCTTTGAAAGACAATGTCAGCTTTGGCCAGCTCGTCTGCATACACACACAGAATACCTCGCTACAAAAAGCTGATAAAGGCTTTAGGATGTGCCCATTTGAATGAATGTAAACACCTCTCTAATAAGTGTTGTTGTCTTGTTTTCAATCACCAAGGGAACACTAATGGGGCTACTAATAGGCCTTGGACAGCTGAATCATTCAGAACTTACACTCAAGAGGCTCCACAACAGACATGGGTGAGAACATTTTGAAAATTGTCATACCGTCATATTGTCTTTCAGTAATAATCAAGAAAAAAGGACACAGGCATAAGTTACGCCACAAATCACTAGTCGGCCAGTGCTTGCTTAATACATACAATACTAGCAAGAAATGTATCTTAGTGCTTTACAAAACATTGCATGTGATTTTTTTCCCTTTTCCAATTTTCTTTACTGAAAAAAGGAAACTTGTATCTCATGCCGCCCACTTACACGAAAATTCTTTTGTTACTATCGAAGGCTTCTCGGTGTTGACAAGCTGATACTGTTTGCCGTCAATGAGTGGGCCATGGACATCAAGAAGACACAGCTACCCAGCCTATTGGGAGGCGTGGGACCAATGCACTCCCTGGTACAACTCGGTATGTGACTCATCATAGGATTCTCACACATCCAGTGATCGGGACACCAATGAAAATAGTCTGGTGCTCAGTTTGGTCATTACAAATGTTGACCCAACCTTACCATTGTATCTGGTTTGAACTTGATTTCTGACTCCAGAATCATTAAAAAGTTTTAAAAAATTTCAAGCTAAATGGAAATACTCTTTGACTTAAGGCTTGTAATGTGAGATGTTCTGGCAAAATAAAACTTAAAAATATATATATTTTTTTTTCAGATTTATTAATATGTGTAATCTTTGGTACACTTTATGTCTACAACACATGTTGTAAAGAAACAGTATAGAAATCTTGAAATGTAAGTGTTTTTAAGGAAAAGCAGTTGACATTTTCCATCTTCACGAATACAAAACTTGAAAGTTTAAATGCCTTTTGTCAGTATTTTACTTTTGGACTAAATTTAAACTGCCATAACTTGTCAACGGTATGTTTTATCCCAACCAAAAACCCTCCTTTTTTCCTTTTTTTGGATGTTTGCAACCCTCTCAATAAAAGTTTTTGTTTTTTGGCACAAACAGATCTGCTTTACAATCAGACTGGCTCCCAGTCCGTACATTATCGATACTGATTGTGGGGCGGGAACCAGCCTACCCAGCGAGAACGAAATTATTGTCTGGCAGTGAATAATGTGAAATTGTAAAGTAATAATTCAATAACTAAACATGGACCAATTTTTTTTGGTCGATGTCGCATTAAAAAATGATAACTTTTGTATTGCTAGAACAACAGCAAATAGAAAACAAATCTATTTCTTGGGATGAAACTCAAAAATAGCCTGGAGAAGTGATTTTAAGCAGTCTCAAGTGGAAGTAAAACATTTATATTTCCCTTGCAGTGCAAGGCGTAGTGGACCTGGTTCGTCTGCCCGTTGAGCAGTACAGGAAGGACGGACGATTGATGCGAGGTTTCCAACGAGGGGCCAGCTCATTCGGGACGTCCACTGCAATGGCCGCAGTGGAGCTGACCAATCGAATGGTCAGGATACTCCAGGTAAGAGAGGGTATATTGGGAAAAGTGTGAATTATTGACTGGATCAGGATCAGAACTAGGAATATGTTGAACAGCAAACTGCAACCATTCTCTTAGTTGAGAAATTATTCACACATGGTGTTTCCGCAAACCTTTCATTATTTAGTATCTCCACCATGCAAAGCCTCAAATCTTACTTAGCATACTGCAGCCAATTTCACAAAACTTTATTGGCATAACTCCAATTTTGCCACAATGTATTGTGTAAGGTGCAAAACATTTCATGCTACGCAGAATTTCAGTTACAATCCGATTCAGTTACGAATGTTTCACACTGCGTGAGTGTCCATTATTTACGCAATCATTGATAAATGGTGTAAGTTACAGCGTAGCGACTGAAAATAATTTACTTGTAAATCTTGATCGTCCAGGAGCCTGTCATTGTTCAACTTTATCAAAGTTGATACAAGAAACAGCTTTGTGTTAGAAGTAAATAAATTACTTTTTACTGTATAATTTCAAAGAAACTTTGACAAAAGTAGTTTCAAAATGATGTCCTTCATGATTACCCAGGCCTCGCAGCCATATTGGAGCACGGTGACACAAATAGTTTTGCAGAGTTTGTCCAATACCAGGAGATCAGGAGATATAAACTTTCCAGTGATTTCAGCGGAAAGTTTAATTTTTCGACACTTTTTGTCTTTCTTTATCTTCTTTCCAGGCAGCGGCTGAGACCGCCTATGACATGGTCTCCCCTGGGCCCAGCGTCTCCAGCCGGGCCATCACCTACGGACCGTTTGGCCAGTCCAGGTTGGCCAGGCAACCCACCGACTTCCGGGAAGGCATGGCCAATGCCTTCAACGTGGTCAGAGAGGTAGGAAGGAAACACATCCAGGAACAAATTTGTTGGCATATTGATGAAAATACAGTAGAGAATTGTGTTTTAATTTTAAAATGACATATACAAGTTCAGTATTAGGTTTTGCCCTTCACTGACGTGTAAACACTGTATACTCAGTGTGTTACCCCCCGAGTGAAAGTTTAAAAAATCACTCGGTGGGACTCGAACCCACAACCTCCTGCCTTCTAGTGCAGCTGTCTTACCACTCGACCACCGAGCTATCAGGATCGGTTGGCTGGTTCGAATCTGATGTAGCAGCGGGTACCGCAATTAAACTATTCATAAGATGGGATTTGTGTAACACACTGAGTATACAGTGATTACCTAATATTGAATTTACATCACCCCAATGCAAATTCCATCTTATGAATAGTGACGCATACACGAGTTAAAAAGTCATTGATAGAAAACAAAAATGAATTTGTTGATGAGCGCGTGATGGATTTGTGATTTGACTTGTGATGGACTTGACCAATATTGTCTGACAGTCCAAACAGTTCCTGACTTGCTAGAAACATCTCACAATATCTTAGTTAATATCCTAGATCCCCAACAAACCTATACATTTTCTTATCGACACCAGGGTTTGGAAGATGCGGCCATCGCCATCGTCAAGGTAGCCAAGGAGGAGCACGAGCACAAAGGCGTGTCCGGAGCGGTGGGGGGCATCCTCCGTCAGATCCCGCCCACCGTCATCAAACCACTCATATTAGCCTCAGAGGCTACCTCCAGCGTGCTGGGCGGGATGAGGAATCAGATGCAGCCGGATGCACGCAGGGAAGACTCTGAGAAATGGAGGTCTGAGAAGAACAAGTGATGGGGATAAGTAAGGTAGACAGATACATACGCTAGCTAGTTTGTTTATGGTGTAAATCAAGGATCTCCTATTGTCCTCATCGTCGATCTTTTGCTCATACTTTTTTTGCAACAGCTCCCATTGGTTTTGTACATGTTTTATAATCGAGGTCGTCCTCGATTTGACTCCTGTTTTCAATTACACAAGGATGTTTTACATGTGTGTCCTCGATTTACACCTTAAATATGCGCCATGACAGGCACCGACGGATACCTATCACACACACAGAACCTTAAATTTTAATTTTGTAGAGTACTTGTATTATTCTCATATTACTCCTCTACATTGAAAGTTCCCTTGTGGGCATAGACTAGCTCCGCGACAGTCATTTTCTGAGGTGGAACCAGGCTCCCACGAGTCGCGCTCAGGTAGTAGGCACACACGCTGGGCTCCTTCAATCAATAGGGTTACCACATGCGCACGCCTTGTCTTCAAGAACGTGTGCGGCATGCACGCAAATATGGTTCATCCTCAGAAATGGCTTATAATTTTGTTTACCGAATCATTCTGTCGTTCTGTGTTCCCCAGTTGCGTTTCACCAACAGAGGGCAGCAGACAGGTTTGTTGTAATCAGAGAAATACCTTGATATTGAAAAGGGAGAATCAGTAGAGGTTTTTGTGTACAAAACATCAGAGATATAGAACTGAAGCTTTTGGATTGTTTGCCAAAGAATGGACTTTTTATTCGAATTGTTAACGCTTGTGAGATTCTTGTTAAAAAAAAAAGGAATGTTAAAATTGAAATCAGCCAAGAAGGTGAGATTCCATGGGACATTGACTAGTGCAAGTTTTGAACAAGTAATTTGAACACCCAGCATAAAGATTCAGTCAGTTCTGCTTTACTGAATTTTCTTGCTCATTTTAATTTCTGTTTTTAAGTGAATCTAGTCAGTTTTCCCCTGGAGTTTATTTGATGAAAGACTGTTTTGATTTTTAAAGAAAGTCACTGTTTTGCCAAAGCATTGTACATGTATAAAGCTGAAAAAGTAGTTTCAATTTTATGATATGATTGGAGAAGGTGCAATAGGAAGATGAACTGATGAAAGAAAGATATTGGTTAAAAATGAGAGAATGCAAACCTTTGTAAATATAATTTAGTAGCTCTTTGTACAGTGGATCTGACTAATCAGTTAAAGGCAAGCAGAAATTGAAATCAATTTTGTTGTTAATCAGAATTGGGTATTATAAAATGTGCGGGTGTTCGCTTACAACAGTTTTTACTCCGGACTTTGGATCAAATTGAGGGATTGAGATTAAGAGTGCACTGAATGTTTTCCTTATGGGTGTCACCTCAGTGTCTATGGATTACCGCCCATGAAATTGCTAACTGAAAAATGCTAAAACAATTTAGAGAGATTTTTATGAACTCAGTGCAACACATCAAGCAATTTCCCCTTCCATCTCGACAAAACTATTCTGTATATATCTTGGAGGGGGGGGGGGGGGGGGAGGAGGGAGGTGGGGGGAGGGGGGAGGGGGTGATGACTTGACAGTTTTCCAGGGATGGGGTTGATGATACTTTGACCTTAAAATTGGTGACTTTTCTGGATTCAGTGTTAACTCTGTTGGGCCAGACTCGAACCCCAAAGACAAGAAAAACCTAAATATCTGAGAAACAAGTACCAGTTTCGAAAATACATGTTGTGTTGTCTTGAATATTCAAATTGTTGAGTTCTATTACAGCTAATTTGAATTTCTATCAAGGAACTGATGCTTTTTGCAGGTTTTATATGTTTGTGCGTCAAATTTGACTTGTCCGTAATTTTCATAAGTCAAGTCTCGGACCATTCTTGTATACTTCTGATTACATTCACTGAACTTTTATGGGACACGCTCTGTCGAGAAAATGTACTTGCTAAAGAAGGAACTACCACGACTTTGTGTCGATCATAATCAATCAGCACGATCAACGGAATGGGATATTATTTCAAAACTTAATTTTTTCCCTAATTTATTTAAATCTTTAATTTTCAAGAATTTTGTGAACAAAAGTACAGCTTGAAATTCTTTAAATGGTGAACGTGCAACCATTGTTTGAACACTGAAACGAAAATTATTGGATGAGCCCACAGTTAAAAAGGGGATCTTTTTCCAAAACGCCGTCCTCCTTTGTACACATTGCCAGAGAGCCATTCAATAATTGTATCTACGCAAAAGGCCGAAAAAAAAAAAATAGGCGGTCTCTGGTCAGACCAAAGTTCTGTAATTGATGCGGCGACGCGTTGTTTTTTTTTTTTTGGTCGGCTTTTTTTTTAACCTTGGATTGTACAGACAAGGTGGGTACTATTTTGCTTTTGTTGTGTCCTCATATACATTGGTGTCCTCCATCATTTGCATTGGTGCCCTCGATCATTTGCCTTGGTGCAATTTCACCATTCCTTGGTGCTCCTTGGTACAACAATTTTGAGGAGGTGCAGCAATAGAGATCGCTGTTGTAGCTACCGCGGAAAATTTGAAAAAAAAAGAAAGATTGATGTGCATGATTAAAATCGACGCGCGCGCTGACCAGAGACCAACTATTTTTTTTTTCTTGACCTAAAACGGCATACATGTAATCAGAGACCCATGTTTGCAATTTTGTTTTTATGCCTAAACGTACATGTGTAATGTAACCAATGATCTGGCATGTTTCAATCTTTTATGCAAGAAAAGTATTTAAACAATGCAAGTTCAATATGTTTATTCACCAAGCAGTTGCACACGTGTATATTCGGGCAGTCAGTTTTTTAATGTACACATTCTTGTATGATTTTTAAATTTCTTAATACCATATCAAATGAAAATTATTTAGTCAAAAATGAGAGTATGATTTTTGTGTAAACTGTAGATATTTGGAATAGACAACTAAGTAATATTTATTGAAATTAACACATGTTGTAATCAAGTCCAGATTGAAGTCCCAGGCTGAAACAGTATATGGGTAGACTTTTAAGTTCCCTTGACTCAAAAAACTAAAAGAGGGAGAATCTAGGAGATGTAAATTCAAGACTGGGTTATGCCCTTTTACAACCTATTTTCTTTTTATAAACGCTGTACATGTATACTCAATTGTCGGTGGACTTGTTAGAAGAAAAAAAATGATGTAAAAAAATATGTTGGTGACGGCAACGCCCAATATTGAATGCAATGGGGCTTGTGACTTGACTTAAGACAGAGTGATTTGCTATATACGTACTCTGACTTTTCAGAATTTGATTACCAATCGATTCTGGAATTTAAAGTACAGTTGACCCTCATTAGTACAAACTCAGCCGGACCAAGCTGAAATGTTTGTTATATCAGAATGTTTATCAAGTGGAATGCTGGTCCCATTCATTGTGTACTTTATATAAAGCACAGTTGGGACCCAGGCATTATGTTTGTTATAACCAGAATTTGTATTAACAGAGTTTGTACTAACGAGAGTCGACTGTTTATGTACATGTAGTCTCCTTTTAATGTCATTCAGCTCTTGGATATTTGTGTGGTCTCAGCAAGCCCAAATTTGCCGAGACTTGAGTCTGAGACCACCAAGACCTTACAAGAAAGTCTGTTGGAGATCATGATCAAGTCTGGGCCAAACCCAGATCACAAGTCTGGTCCTAATATCAACCCAGCTGTCCAGTTTTGGACTCTGTCTGCTTTTGGCTTGTACATGTATCTCCTTAAGCTCAAACAAACCAGGACTTGACTATGGGCTCCGTGCGCAAGTACCCCCTCAACGGTAAGAAAGGGAGAGTTGGGGGAGACCACTGGGAGAGACATTCGAACGCATTTCTGATGATGCCTGACACTCACATAAAGATGCTATGGCTTTGTATACATTCAGAAATAAAAATAAGTTGTGCGTACTTCGCGCTATACGTGCGCGAACCAATACGTGCACGCAGTGTGTCCCGCCCACTAGGTTCGCAAAAGTGGTAAAAAAGCGCCCTCTCTTGTTTCTGCACGGCAATGAAAAGTTGTTTGCAATACCGTCATCTTTTAGGTGTGTGCTTTTGTTTAACAGGGAAGCACACGAGTAGAACTCTTGTGCAGTCATTGTTAATGAATTAACATGACAAAACAGAATTCAAAGATGGTTGCTGAATGCAATCGATCTATGCGTGATTTTAGTTTTAAAAAGTTGAAGTACATGTAATTGAAACTGTTCAAATTAACTATGGTTGATCCATGGGTGCTGTGGTCCATTAAATGCATATCCAAAAAAGGTTTCTGTCGACGGACCAATAATATTTGTGATTTTGAAAACTTGGTTCATGTAGTGTTCATTATTGCATTCAGTGTAATAACAGTAAACTAATCACCAAAGACAGAAACCAGCTTGAAAGTAAATTCGAAGTTAACTTTGTTCATATCAATGTGAATGCTGCCTTTGTAATATTGTAAAGTTAAGAGGAAGTCATAGTATGAATTTGTTCATGTTATCACGACAAACACTGCTGTCTACTGTGTGAACTCTGACCCTTAGTTTTGGCACTACCAGTCCCCCTCCGCTTGCTTCCAACCTTTGCTTATTGTAAAACTGAAGTGTTACAAAAGAACAATATTGCAGCAATAGTTTTTGTACTTTTAGTCCTAAAAAAGACATGTTACAGATTTCTTTTTATCACCTCTTGGGCAAATTTCTGGCTTTGGTGTTATACTGAATCAACACGCATTGTTAATGATTCATGTAACAATTGTTTTCTTTAATTTTTAAAGTGTTGTGAATATTAAAATCTTATAATTATACAAAGCAGAACTTAAGAAGTTTTGAGTGATCTTTTCCCCGTTTTAAAAATTGTATTTCACTGTTTCAAAAGGCAGTCGCCGTTATGAAAGTGCCTATCACTTCAGTTGTATCTACAGTTGATATTATTTTGATTTCTCTGTTGAGATGAGCATTGTTTTTCTTTATCGAGATGGGGGGGGGTAGTGGTAGGCAACTACCCCCCTTTTTGTGGGGGGATGGTGTCTTAAATCTCCTGAAAGTATCGTAAATTGGACGTTAGAAAATGTTTAGGTTTCCCAAGTCCTGAATATGACAGTTATGAATAATAAACCCAAGTAAAACCAATTATGGCCAAGTAAAAAAAAACAACAGTTGATCGTCCCCGCCCGCATCCTTTTTTGAAGCTGCATCATTTTTTTTTTCCTCACCTCAAACAGCAAACTTTTTCTTCTATTTCGTGTTAGTAAAATACATAGAACATGTTTAACATGAATATTTGGACTCACTTACTATAAGGATAGCTAATTAAAGCCGGCCATCAATTTTAACCGAAATTGGCAGCCATTTGTAATTTAAATACTTGGCAGCCATCTTGGAAAAAAAATTAAAAATAGAAAATAAATAGCCCCTAATCTTTTTGAAAGAAAAACCGGACGATCAACTGGGTTTTTTTACTTGGCCTAAAAGAAAGAAAGCAGCAATTTTATTTTTATCAACGGGTTTAAATCATATTTATTTTAACCACAAAGTAGGATCTTTTTACATATACATGTAGTTACAAAAAAACGCACATGACATAGTTCTTGAGGAAAATGTGCTTTGTCCCATGATTTCCTTGTATTGGCCACAGTCCAAATAATCTTTCCCAACAAAAATTCCTGTCCAGTCCATGAAATGTGAATCGAACAAAATGTACACGCTTGCTTCTGTCATCCAGAACAATGTAAATGCAGCTAAAAATGACAGAGAAATTATATCTGTTGGCCGTAATTAACCTTGCATTTTTTGGTCTTCGTGACCTACAATGGCATCTTCTCTTATCTTCTTTTCACCTGCGTATAGCAGTAAACAAAAATTGTGACAATAAAGGTAACTTCAACTTCATAGTATATTAAAAGAAACATTAAAAGTATAGAAAAAAACGAAGAGAAATGATGATCAGAAGTTCAAGTTAATAGACTATATAAATCTAGTGGGTCACTTGCCCCCTCTTCCCCTGATATCTGGTCGTCTGTTTTCAATAAAATATCACCAGCACTTCACTTAATCCTGCTTCACTTTAACAATTTCGACAGAAAAAAAGTGCCTCTTTTTTTCTCTAGACAAATTAAGTTAATTCCATCCCCTGACTCAAAACGCAGACATCTACAGTAAGCACCGTCGATATATCGATATTATCAATTATTCTATATCATTTTGATATTGCTATTGCCGATAGCAATTTTTAATCATATCCAAATATCAAAAATGTTTGATATTCAGGACAAGTATCAGTTGTTTGTGCTTTTACTTTCTGTTTATCGTTTTGCTGTATAATGAACATCATGAAATAAAACTCGGCAGCAACTTGTGCTTGTGACTCAACATAAAAACATTGTGAATGCCATTAGCGTCGCTTTGTGCTCTGCGTTTGCTGGAATTTACGCTCTCCTCCAATGTAAAACTATAGTTAAAATAAAATGCCCGTTCTGGACAAACTCACTGTGCTGAGATTTGTTTTAAAAAGTTTAAGCAATATGCTCCAGAGAAAGCCATGGAAAAGTGTCATCTTTATGGTCTATGTTTACATGGGATAATCGATATACCGAATATTTTTAATATTGGATTTCCGATCATCAATTTTTGACAATTCTGATATCGACAGTGCTTAATCTACAGCACCTGAATACATGTACATGTATTCTTCTTACAACTTTGAACAGCATTTTTTGTTCATCTTGATCTCCACAACATTTTTTAAAAAAGTGATCTCAAGACTCAAATGTGCGTTTAAAAAAAATCATCCTGTGTTAAAAATTTTTCAATGGTTTGAAAGTTGCAATCAAGATAGTTCTATCTACCATTAATTAAATGTTGGCATGTTCACTTCACAAAACCAAATTCTGAGGACATCTCCAATATTTTTTTATTTCTCCTCTTAAATCATTGCAAAAAAGTTCCACACTTGTCTTTGTCTCTGAAGTTTGGTCTACCTCTGATGTCAAAATAAAATAAGCACTTTTAATGCTCAAAGTAAATTAACAAACTGTAACATTCTGTAAATTAAGCATCATAATCCTTAGATAAGGCCAAAAAAAAAGTCTCCGGTTTCTGGTATGCGCGCGCGTCGCCGTAGCCATGCGCGTCGGCAAAAAAATAAAAGATGATGTCTAAAAACAGCCAAACTCACTGGTTTGACTGGAATCCTGCTGCTGCACAATTTTAACGTGATTTTAGATGGGGTTATGATCGAGAATAAGCTGTATGTGGCCTCTCCGGACTCCCATATATTTGCACTAAGTTTAGTCGGGCACCATTTGCAGTCATCAGCCGACATTTGAAGCAAAAAAGACAGGTAAAAAAAAAAAAAAGCCGCGTCGCCGGCTCGCCGCACCACTTTTTGGGCAAGCTCCATACCAGAAACCGGAGACTTTTTTTTTTTGGCTTACATCATCATGATTCAGTTTTAAGTAGCAAATATGGACTCGGTACTTGGTCTATGTTTTCTTATGTACGGGACCTGAAATTAAGAACCTTAAGTCTGCAGCCAAAGTGAGAGGCTAAACAGAGATGTGGCAAGTCCGCTTGGTAAAGAGTTTCTTGTTTGAGCTTGGGGTGCTGAGTTCAGGCTAATCAATCTCAGCGTCAAGGTCAATGTAGAGAGTCTTGCAGGAAGCAAAGCTGCAAGCTGACAGAGGTGTGGATGGAGATTCTAACGGCTCATCTGTAGGAGGCATCAGTGGGTTGTCACAGGCACGAAAAAGCTCTCTAGGAGTAGCCAGAGGCTGGGTGGGGAACTGACCACAAGGTTGGGAGTCGCCGTACAAGGCAACGGCAACACCTGGGGTGAAAGGCGGTGTCGCAGGAGGGAGAAACTGGCACTGCATTGCGGGTGTCGTGTCGTTTAGTGTGCTTGCGCCCTGGGTGACGGAGATGTCAGTTGGCGGAGTTACGGGTTCCTCATCAGGAGATGAGCAGGGAGGGTTGTCTAAGGAAGTTGGACACTCAGAGTAGCTCTGGTTGGAGGTCCAAGAGTGAGTGCTTGGAAAGCTTGGAAAGCTTGGAAGGTTGACCTGATGGTGTGGATACGAGTCTGAATAGTGACGGGAGAGCAATGTCTTTGTTGGGTAGTTGTCGCTGTAGCCAGGTTGGGGGGCTGACTTGGGCATTGGACAGCTGTGGTTGTCTTGAAAGTTTCTGATGTTGTCGGACTGAAGTTCCTGCTGAGGGAAAGCAGCAGAGAACCCAACTTGGGGAGTGGCGTTTGGGGCTGCAAATCTCTGAATTTCCTGTGGGTAAGGAGTGTTCTGTGGATGCATCCAGTTCAAATCAGAGATCTGCTGTTTGGGGGAAGCACACTGGAAGCTGAACTGGTTCTGCATCATCCAGGAGGAAGTTGATGGTTGGTGAAAGTTGAGGTTATGGGAGGGTTGGTCCTGGGGTAGCATGGCGCCCTCTGGAGGCTGGCGAGGAGAGGCTGTCACGGGCTGCTCTACCAGATGCTGCCTGTTGGACATCATTGACAGCTCTGGCAGCTTTGGCGAGATTGTTTCCCAGTTGTGATGAGAGGGTTTCACCGCCATGGGAGACGCCCAGTGTTGCTGACCCCCTCTCATTGGAAGATTGTCATTTGAAGGCCTGGGATGGTCAAGGCTTCCGGCATTTGTCAAGGGCCAGGGCGAGACTGCACCCCATCTGCTTGGAAGAACACCCATCGGTTGCTGCCTTTGGTACCAGTCTCTTGAAGGAGCTGTCTGGTCTGGAAAAGGCCTGCCTGCAAACTGGGAATGAAATCTGTAGCCACAGTCTACCCCTTGGTAGTTGGGTGGAGAGCTCTGCTGGTGCCCATCCCTTGGGAACTGACCAGCTTGCTGACTTGACTCCGCCTTCGTTTGAGGGAACACCAGCACATAGTTGGGGGATGGGCGAGCTGTAACGGGACGACTGAAGCAAGAACTCTCTGAAAATCCTGAGTCTGAGGACGAAGACTGTCTGCTCTGCTTGGTGCTTTTTCCACACTTCCTCTTGAAGCGGACTCGGCGGTTTTGGAACCAGGTCTGTCATGAAATAAAAACACAAGGATAAAAATTACCATTTTCATGGAAATGGATGATTGAAGCAGGATTTAGAGGCATTTAGGATCATTTGCATTTATCTCAAAGGTAATATACATGTACCAAATTTATTATCAAAAAAGCTTACTTGAAAGATCGTGCACTGGTACTAAAAACCCATGAAATTATTCCATCTGGCTTGCTGCCATTTAAAATAAACCAGGAAGTGTCGGTGATTTCCAACGATCAGTAAACTGACTGATATTTGGAATGAAGAGTGCTTTGGCGACAAAATGTGTTGTGATCAAAAGGTTATGAATGGTTTCTCACTGTTTTCTCTAAAAGTGTATTATCTGCTGAGCTGCAACTTCAAAGGGTTAGCATTTGAACATTCTTCTTGCATTTTGAGCAGTGTAATAATATTTGAAACGAACAAAATGCATGAAAGGCGAATGATCCTATATGCCTTTACTTTGGTAATTCACAACTGAGGCTGTGCCAGATATTGCAATATTTGATCAAGAAAGAGATCAGGCATTTTTCATTCTATCCATTATCAAAGATTTAAGTACTTATTTGTTGATATCAGTAGTTGGAAATAAGATGCAATTAAATCTTTAACAAAGGAAGAGAGCAGGGAATCTTCATTTTTACGTATTTTATTTGGAATATAGTACCTCAGTTCCGTCCCTTACCACTCATACGAAAGTTCTTTTAGATTTAATATGTCAGACCAATTAAATGTGCGTTCCCCTTGCTATTTTCGAGCGTCATCCTGATCAATAGATTCTTTTTCTAAAATGGCTATTTTTCTAGCTATACAAAAGTTATTCACCTTTCGGTTGAGACTTCGACCCGAAAAAAATCGGCGTATGTTTAGTTATTGAATTATTACTTAACAATTTCGAAACATTGGCTGCCAGACACTAATTCCTGTTCTCGTGGGGGAGGTTGGTTCCCCCCCCCAATCAGTATTGATAATGTTTGCAAAGCAGATCTGTTTGTGCCCGAAACAAACAACTTTTTCAGAGGTTTGCAGACGTCCAAAAACGGAAAAATATAGTTTGTTGTAATAAAACATACAAGACACAAATTTGTTGAAGAGCACGGGAAACACAATTTTAATGATCATACAGGGTGAGTCAAAAAAAGCGCCACGCAAACCCAAACAAATATATTTAATATTTTTTAAAAAAAAGTAGCACCAAAAATAATAATGACTGGAAAGCCTATTGCAAAAGCTACTTTTAGATAAAAAAAATACCGAAATTGCTCAATCCGTTCAAAGAATATCACCATTTAAATGCAATGACCCTAAAACCTGTTTCGTCCAAAAAAAAACCCAATTTATTGTGTATTCTGACTGTTTGGAACAACAACAAAAATTAAATAAAAGATACCTTTTTGAGACTTTGATTACAGAACTCATAACAGGGGCTTGCGACACCATCACGGTGTCTTTGTCAACTGGTGTTATTGAGGCCCTCACGTGACCCGTGATGGTGTCGCAAGCTCCTTATACGAGTTCTGTAATCAAAGTCTCAAAAAGGTATCTTTTATTTAATTGATATAATAATGGGACAGGAAACGAACTTTCATGCTCAACAACAAAAATGACACAGAATACTTGTTTCAACAACTGTAGTACACAATATCTTTATTAACTACCCTGGTTAGGCAAACAATATGATTTATAAATCCACTTTTTTTAAAAGACGGGTCTTCAAAAGGACTTTGTAAAATATTTTAAACTTTTAAACTGAGCTTTTATCGCTGGTGATGTTTGAAGACAATATGACGACGCTTCTTGAAATCGCATTTTTGGACGAAAAAGGTTTAAGGGTCATTGTGTTTAACTGGTGATATTCTTTGAATGGATTGAGCAATTTCAGTAATTTTTTTTTCATCAAAAAGTAGCTCATGAAATTGGCTTTCCAGTCATTATTATTTTTGGTGCTACATATTTTTTAAAAATGAAATAACTCACCCTGTATTTGTTAATAAGGGAATAACAGTGTGAGGAGCTGGTCTTCACTGCGTGATAATGACCGGGTGTGGGGGTGGCTGCTGTTAATGGACCGAGACGAAGTCGAGGTCCATTAACAGCGGTCACCCCCACACCCGGTCATTATCACGCAGTGAAGACCGGCTCCTCACACTGTTATTCCCATTAATAAATACCTTTTTAACGAAATAAACAGTTAAAATGCTCCAATTTTGTGACTTTTTTTCCGGCGATATTTCCAGACTTTTTTGTGTTCATGTTCATGGGCCATATTTTAGCTTATGCATGGTACCCTGTCTCTTCAATAAGCGTTGTTATATACACCACAGCTGGGCCCAGGCTGCGCTGGACAATTGCAACGTCTTCATTGCGTACGCGTACGACTTCTGCTGCCGTAGCCAAACAAATTACAACAATGTTTTCATATTTTTACCTGATGGAGGAAGCTGAAATTTTGTTTACACATTCCTTGTGTCCAGAATTACAATACAAAGATGCTTGGTTTAGAAAAGGTAAATATGTCGATGGGCGAAGTATTTACAGAAAATAAATCGTAGATCTACGCTTTCGTCGTAACATCCTCAGTATAGTGCACTGCCGCTGTACGATGTCGTTTAAAAACTTCCTAACGTGCGCGCACCCATAGCAACTGTGTTGCGTACGCGCGCGTCAGTATCACGCGAAGGTGGTTGAGCGCATGTGCAGTGCTGTATTGTTACAAGCTGCCGTATGACTGTTGTAAATTTGGCCAATCATTGCCTTCCATGGGGCTGGATCAATGCTGGTTCAGGGGCCATTTATTCGCTTGTTCTTTGAAGCCGGTCTTTATATCACCGTTAATGCCCGGCCACGTGATCGAGTCTTGACCAATCAGAAATCATCAACTCTCCAAGGTATTTATTAATGAACAGTAAAGGGCCATTAGAGCTGATTTTTGCAACCCTTGCACGCTAGACATTGGGCTGAATGTATCTGCCCTGGACACGGCTAGGTTTTAAGACACTTCAAGTAAGCACAACAGTTTCAATACCATTACACAAGTTCGAAGAAAGGAGGTGTCAATTCAGAAGACTTTGAACAGTATACAAATATTGAATGCTTCGAGTGGTGTAGTAAAACTAGCCTCAAATAGAATGGTCCATGGATCATCGAGGGAGGCTAGTTTTACTTCACCACGAGATAAAGCATTCAATATTTGTTTTATAACACTTCACCCACAGATTCTGCTTGATTTTAATATTTTAGATTATTTAAATCTGAACACGGTTGAAATAAACTTCAATTTCAATACAAAATTGATGGAAAATGTATTTCTCTCTTCCAAACTACCCCTTCACGAAATGTTTGAACCCAAGTCTGCGGGGCGCTCTCTTTGGAACAATACGCGCTACGCGCAATGCGCGCACCAGCATCCATTTGCACACAAATACCGTGCCGTGGAAATAGTACTTTGGTTGCCAATGGTATAGTACTTTGGTTGCTACGGGTATAGTACTTTTGGCCGTGCACAGAAAGATAGCAAAATTAGAAAGTAACATGTGACTCGCTCTCGGCCAATCAAGACACAGAATCTGTGGGTGAGGTGTTATAATAGGTTTTATCTTGTTAAAAACAGCATGGGGAGATCACAAACTGTCTAGGAAAGATCAATTACCTGTATTGCTTTCAGGGGGAGTCTGCTGACGTAGGACAACTGATTCCGAAGGACAGAGCTTGGGTAGTGGCTGTGAGCGAAAGTCATCTCCAACAGTTCCAGCTGCTCGCTGGTAAAGTTTGTCTTGGGCTTGCGCTTGTTGCCAAGGAAACCCCTCTTTGTTGGGAGCGGGGGCTGGCACTGGTAAGGCTGTGGGGGCGTTTGATGCACACTAGGTGCATAAGGGTGTCCGCCTGTGTAAGAAACAAACGAAAAAGGAATCACTGCTTTGTACATTTAAATCTTTTGATTCAGTCAAACCACTGCCAGTGGCGCCAATCAGTGTTGGCTAGTGGGGAGAGGAGGGGATGACCATACAGCAAGATCCAATAATTGCCCAGCCATTTAAAAAGCGTAAGGGTAGGGGGGAGGAGGGAGGGGGTGGACACCACATCACACAAGGGGTGCTGTTCATGATACAAATGTAAATGGAAACTTGTGCGCCTACCTCCCTCAACCTTACATAAAAACATGGCATTGAAACATTTTGTACTGTCTGTTCTCCCCTGTTCTCCGTTTTTCAAAATTATTGAAAGGGCCCATGTAATGGAATTTTTTTATTGCAATCCTTGAAAATGCGACTCTGTTTCCCATTTAGGCCAAATAAAAAAAAAAAGTTAAGCGTCTTCGCCCACTTCCTTTTTGGAGGCCGCCTCCTTTTTTTTAAAACACGAAAAAATTATAAAGTTTAAACAGTGACATCATTTTGGCCTATTTGTCTGGTGTATCTAGACCATATAAAGCTGGTATGTCAGTCCTGAGTCCAAGTGGCGGCCATTAAAAAAAAAAAAAAGCTGGTGGCCATCTTGAAAAATAGCCCGGTCAGGCGGCCGTTTTGGAAGGAAAAAAAAAAGGGCTTCCTCCTTCCTTTTTCTCAAAAAGGCAGGATGCTAAAAATGTTTTGTTTTTTTATTTGGCCTTAACCTTATTTCCAATTTTACTTTTTGCCATTTTTAAGGGTATTTTGGTGCCTTTTTGGTTTTATGCTTATGAGAATCTCCATATTCATGAGCAAAACTGTGATGTCATTCCAGGCAAAAACCTCAATGTTACAGCTATTTCAGCACAAAAATGTTGCTCAAATTTTGGATATTTTGCTGTCGAAAAGTTTGTTTTCTTTGGTGATTCGTTGCTGTGTCTGTAAGCCAATGAACAAACCTCCTGAAATGACATAACAGCAAAAGCGCCATTAAGTTGTCTGGAAATTAAAGCAGGGAAAATTGTTAATGCTTAAAGAAGTGCACTCTTCAATAAAATTAGCCAAAAAGGAATGTCACATAGTTTTCATACATTTAAGAGGGGCAGAAAGTTGCACAAAATGTGTTCGTAAGAAAAGTCATCGCATGGACCCTTTAATGTGTCCCTTGAAATGTACCTTTGTGTCAATTAATCTTTATTTTTAATCTTCATATTGCCATTTTTAGGGCATTTTGGTGTCTGTTTGGTTTTTATGCTGATGCAAATTTCCATATTCGTGAGCAAAACTGTGATGCCATTCAAGGCAGAAACTTCAGTTTCTGAGTTTCACATCTGCTTCAGCATAAAAAGTCACCAGAATTTTAGGGGTTTGCTGTGCTGAATTTTCTGCTTTCATTGGTTCATTGTTGTTTCAGTATAAGGCAGTAATACCATGAGAAAATTGTAGGCACATGTTTTCAATAAGCATAATTTTGGATTTACAATTTGAAGAAAAAAATCCCAATCTGATGACAGGAGTGTTCCTAAAAGGGACACCACATCAATAGCGCCGTCAGTTGTCAAGAAAAGCAAGAAACATTATAAATGTTTAAAAAAGTGGGGTTTTTTTACCAAAAAGGGATGCCTCATAGTTTTTATGCATTTCAGAGGAATAGATATTTGCTACAAATGTGTTTTAGTGTAAAATTTATTTCATGGCATGTTTAATAAATTTGGACTCATAATGAATTTGGAATTTTGGAAAGTTACATGATAACCTGCAAATCTGCATTTTTTTTTCTCACCACAAAAATTGAATGACCCACCACCCTCCTTGTCAGAAAGTGGGGGATAAATCACACCCCCCCCCCTCTCTTTTTACGCCTATGACCACTGCTGTGTTTTATGGAATGTTCTGGATTTGGCTATAAGCACCGCCCACTTCATCTACAAAGTTCCCATATACACTTTTGGTTGAAATATCAAAAGTAGCTTAATTCGAAGACAATTCCCGAATCATTTGGTCATGAATATTAATTCATGTAAATTTTCAAATTTTTTTTGTGTTTGATATCTTCTAGCAACCATAATTCAACCTGATATATAATTTCCTTTTTTATTAAAAAAAATGGTACAAAGATTATGTTTTCAGAAACTTTTCTTATTTTTTGTCATGCCCCTCCACTCAAATTAAAGTGCGTTTTGACATATACTGAACCTTTTTAAAGGATATCTGCACACCTTTTTAAGACCAAGTAAAAAAAGAAACCAGTTTCTTGTCACCGCCCTCTGGCCTTTTTTCCCCGCATACATTCATACATTTACAAAACATTTCCACATTATTACTGTATTTTATTTTTTTTCCAACAGCACTGTAGCTATGTAAAAGGGTTCCGGCTCCTGTGTCTGCCGCCATCATTTCTTCAAAATGCCCCGCCAAGAAACTATATCGAAAAAAAATTACTCAGCCTAAAATCCAGGCACCTCAAAGTTGTGGGAAAATGTGCAAAGTTATACAATCAAATGTGATAAATACTATCAAAAGTTGAACTAAAAGGCAACTTTATTTTGCCATTTAATGTTCAACAAACTGTCGACAGAAATGAAAAAAAAAACTCAAAAGAAGCAAGGATTGTAAAAGTGGGAAACCGATCAAAGTAACAAAATATCACAGACAAGAATTAGAAAAACATACTAATAATCATTTTCAAATGTTTTGTATTATAAATTATAACCAATGCCTCTAAGTCTAACCTTGCACGTCATGCTGGGAATGGTTTAGTGGAGTCTGCGCTGGGCCTGTCGGCGGGTGAACATGCGAGGCGTCCTGCCGCATCGTGACCGACACCACGGTGGGCGTGAACGGCGCGTGAGCCTCCATCGGCGATCCTGGTTGCTGCCTTGGGTATTCGGAGCCAGACTCCCGTAGGCTCGGCACGGGAGAGGAGCCGTCGGAGGGGGAGACCGCCTCAGGTGACTTGGGTGAATCTGTGCTGACTTCCCTGCCGTCCGCTTCGCTCATCAGCCCGTTAACCTGAGCCAGGAGGCTGGCATCGCTCATCAGTTCCCGGACTAATATTTGCGTCTCGGCTGAGTCCAGAAGAAATCCTAGATCCGCGGCAACTGGGGACTCGTTCTCACGAGAACAGAGTTCCTTGCCCCCGGCCATCGAAGATGCGGTGTTTTCCTGCGTTGTTCTCATTTCGTACCCGATCCCATCTTTGAGGCAAAGGTTCAGAGGTTGATAAATGTTGGGTGACGACATCCTCAAGACCGTTCCCACGGGAATGGAATCAATAAATTGAAATCTGACACCGTTTTTCTGGGTATTGGTGGATTGACCTTGTTAAGTTTTAATACATTGTATGAAAGATAACATCAAAACCCGCCCACATTACAAAGTTATTTTTTACAATGGACCACTTACAGTCGCACCCGTGCCCGTGTACCTGCAATGATGCGCTGGCTTTCTTGATGCTCATTGGACATCGTTTAATAGGTTTTTCTGTGACGTCAAACACTTGTTTATAGGAAGCTTGGAGCTAACATTTTGTTAGTTTTGTGACAAGGTTTTGGGCAGGAAAAAGCAAACACTTTATATTTTTTTTTACAAGTGAAGGCAACTTTGTCCATGGCGCTATTTGCCGAATGGTGTCTCTCACTTTACAGACGGTGTGGAAGTGTCTTGGTTTAACCTCTTTCAGTTTGAAAGGCATCTGGGATCATTTGCATTTAACCCAAAAGTAACTTCAGAACTATTATCAAAAAGCTTACGTGGAGTAAAGATAATTCCATCTGGCTTGCTGTCATTTAGAACAAATCAAGAAATGTTGTTGATTTCCGACAAACAGTCAATTCTCTGAATTTTTGGAATAGAGTGCTATGGTGACGAAATCGTGTTTCGTGATCAAAAGTTTCGTGATCACTGTTTCATCACTGTAATGTCCACTGAGCTGAAACTTCAGCAGATTATTATAGGTCTTGAACATTCTTTTGGGGGTTGAGTGGTGTTATTATTGAATACGAACAAAATGCATGAAAACCAAATGATCCATACTTTCCTCTAAAATTTCTCACCTTTAAATCGTTTGCTGTGCTCAATTTTCTTAAAATTCACCCTTAAAGAATTAATAATTCACAGTTTTACGGGCATCTTAATGGATCGACGTTATTTTGGTGTTTTGCTAAAATTCATAATTTTTAATTAATGTTTAAGAAATGCGAATTTGGCAAAAGGCGCTTGGAACATTTGATGGAAAGAATATAGTGTCCAGACGCCACTTCAGCGGTTGTGAACAAAGTCTATGGACAGTCAAGAAAGTTTTTTAAGTATTTCCTAACAAAATTGGAAATGTTTCTCAGTCCCAGTCTTTCTTATGCTCATCTACTGCATTACAGACCAATCCATGCGCGCGATCAATTCTATCACGAAGGCCCCTTTCAATGGCGAAAGCATTGTGCTAGCTGTTGGTCAAATAATAATCCGTTACTGGGCAGTTAATTTGTATCTCCATTGAAGGGGGCCTCGTGAGTATTATATTAGTGTACAATAATCACATGCCCTGATTCGTCTATAGGCCAACGTAAAGGATGTGCTTTCTAGCCAAAGCACAATGTAGCAATCAGGGAAGTCACATGGTATACTCATCACATTTAGACATCCAGAATAGAGAAGTTGCTCGCCCCTCACACGCCCTCGTTTCGAGCTCCTCGAATCCTTTTGTCAGGTAACAAACTGCCCTGGTGATCAGTTACCACAAAATCTTTTTGAAAGCGGTGTGCTAAGAAGCATCCGTGCCGTTGTATACTACGGGTGGGGCCGCTGGGCCTTGTGATATCTGCCGCCGTCCCCTGTGATATCCCCCGCCGTCACATCAGTCGCGCCGCTGAGGGCCGCTTCGGTAACTTCAGTCAGTGGTTGCGCCTTGACAGGATCTTTTGTTTGGGCGCCGCCCATGGGTGGGGTATGTCCAAGACTTTTATACTCGACACAAAGCGACAGGATCAACCCTAATCCCTCAACTCACATAATACAACTGCAATGAAACAACAATCCCCCGTAGATTGCATAAGTATTTCTGGAGTTATATTACAAAGGCGAGGAAATTGAATACATTTGAATAGTCTTGATATAATAGGGATTTTAACTGACAACATTACCTGTAGGCCTATCACCCTCAAAGAGTTTTCAATTCACTGCCATTTTAAATGTCATCTTTCGAAATGTGTATTGGCTGTAATTCAACTCGCGTGAACACAACCGAACGACACACGACAAGCCAATTTGCAGGGGGGGGGGGGGCGACACATGCCCCAGGAGATGCACGTGGGCTCCCCTACCTTTCAAGGGTCATCATCACCCACATGAAACAACGTCATCTGCCTTTAGTTCCCCCATGGTTCCCCCTTGAAAAAATGCGCAACCAGATTCCCTCATGAAATTTGACCCAGTAACATCTGCCGAGCGGGAGGTGCGTGTCTTCAGCATGAAGGACTGTCTCGTGGAACTTAGTACTGGGTCCTAGCAATGGTACTATAGTAGCAACTTGTCTCTCTCCTCTACAACACTCCCTCCACCTTTCTGATCCAAAAGAAAAATAGCCCTCCGCCCCACACTGCCAAGGCCGGATCCAGAGAAAAAAACACACAATTGTTTTGGGTGGGGGGGGGGGGGGGGCAAAAAAAATTGTTTCCGAAAAAGTGGGTCCAAATATTTTCCACCCCAAATTTAATAAGAAAGGCAAGGGAAGGGGTGCAAATGTATTGCTTTTGTTGAGTTTTGTGGGTGATGGTGTACGCAATGGCTGCCTTTTTTGCCAAGTTACTAAACAAAACTTGGGTTCGTTTTTTTAGCGAAGGGCCGTTGCCCCGCCCCCCCCCCAGATCCGCCGTTGCACACTGCTCGCCTATTTAAAGACATTTATGATAATTTGCTTTTCATGCATTTTGTTCCTTTCCAATAATAACACCACTTAAAATCCAAAGAACAACCTTTAAAATCCAAACTGTTGAACTTGAAGATTCGGCCTAGTGCGGGATATTTCCCTTTCGAGAATGAAAAAGTATGCACAACCTGTTGATCAAGAGACACGGTTTCGTCAAGAACACCCTTTATTTCCAAAAATCGGTCAATTGACAGATCGTTGGTATCACCTACATTTACATTTCTTGATTTCTCCTAAATAACAGCAAGCTAGATGGAATAATTTCACGGAATGTTTAGTACCAGTACGATCTTTAATCCAAGTAAGCTTTTTGATAATAGTTCGGTAAGTTGGGATTACTGCAAATGACCCTATATGCCTTGAAGTCCGCTCATTCCTAAATGTATCATTCCATTCCTAGATGATGTTCATTGCTCATGAGTATGAGGCAACAATATTGTAAATGTCCCTTTCATACAAGTTTAGATAAAACATCTAGATGCTGCTATTAAGGGATGTTATCTCTGAGTTTATTTGAAAGCTTGCCGAAACGTACATTAACGGCCCCGAAGATCATCTTATTATCATCTTATTGGCCAGTTATGTTGGGAGGGGGTGCCACTGGCATATAGGCCTACCCGGTTGGTGGCCTGGGGTGTGTGGCGCCTCGCCAAATGATCTATATCCCACTTTGCTTCTAACAACATGGCGCCTTTTTCTGAAGGATCGGTGTTAGGAATAATCGGTTATATTTCAATTGCGAAATGTTTCTCCTTTTCCATATATTCCGGGGGGGGGGGGCATAGTGGGATAGCTCTCAAGCGGGGGGGGGGGGGGGGGGGCTTTCCCAGTTACATTACTTCAATTTGGTCAGACTCATAATTCTCCATTGTTTTGTCTATTTTTAATTTCCACAGGAGACCAAGGGCATATCCGGGGGGGGGGGCCAAAGGGGGCCATGCCCCCCAAAAAACGAAACCGATTTTTTTTTTTTATGTGACGTCGCAATAAAGGCAGGCAATGAGTACACCACCACCTTTTCCTCAAAAAAACATTGGTTAAAGTGGTCAGAAATTGCCTCAGATCGCACCACAGAGCATCTAGAATCCAAACAATTTTGGAGACAAAGTAATTGTGTACAAACACAATCAAAATACATCTAAGACGAATTCGTTTCTTTGTCCTCAGTGGTATATATGAGACTATTTGAATATATTGAAAAACAGATTTTTCGAAGCGAATTGCTCGAGACCATTTTAAACGGAAAACTCCACCTCTGAACAGTAAACACTTGGCAGTACCTGTTGTTGTTTATGTAAACCAGCGATTGGATTGTTATGACCGTTCATGGACAAGTGAATACAGATCTGTAGAGCTAGGACCCTAGCTCTATGGTCTGAATGAGTCGCCACTTCACGATGTGTGTATATATATTAAGCCGCGTATGTCAACGCCAAGTGATAGACGGTGCAAAACTCTGGATAACATCAGATAGAGTAGCAATCAAACTACGATCAACGCACAGCAGCCAGACAGTAGGTATCAGTGATGGGGGATTATCAGTGGATCGGCTGCAAATGTGTTACACAATGCATCAATGTTGATTGGGTCAGTTGCATAGCAGAGACGTGATGCGTAACAGGAAACCCTGGGAACAAAAATGCGCACTACGACCCATTTAATAAACCAAAAAGAAATAAGTAAGTAATGGTATAGCTTTTCTTCCGAACGAATATTTTACATCCGTCTTCGGTCTGGATGTATTGTAGCCTTATTAGGGTGTAAAATTGTTCCTTATGGACTGTAAAACCTTCTAGAACATTGCTCTAAACCGAAATCTTGAAGAGGTAAAAAACAATTTGATAAGATCTATTTTTTAGAGAACCTGATTATCTTCATAAAATAAATCGACATTTCCCCTAAATACTTGTAAAAAGTATTGATAGGTTTCTATAGGGACTCCAGCTCCCCAGCCTTTGTTGAACAATTGGGGAAATGGTGGTTGAAACGAAAGTTTGAATCTTACCGGAATATTTCTCTGATCAGACTGCAAACTGCCCATCCTAAAATTTAGTGTCAGAAAACAGAGAAGAATTCTAGTTTATTATGATGAGAGTGCAACCCGTTTTCCTCCTTATTTTCTATCTAAGTTTTCACCAAGAACAAATTAAATTTCCAATGGCCTTCACACAATGGAGGTAAGCAGGAAAGGAACCGCCAATTTGTGATAATGAAGTATATTAAGAAATCGTGCAGCGGGAAAACTCCTGGGTCTGTACTTTTATTTAACAAAGAGGGATTTTTTTGTGCAACGATCAATTTTTGAAAGTTGAACACGACGCGATGTATTTTTATGGAGATCGAAGTTTTAATTTGGAGATCCCCAGTCTCTTGCTTTCGGCTTATCGCGTGCCGACGTCGTGGGGGGGGGGTGTATTCGATCTCTCGCCTCTTGGTGCTCGC